GAAGAATTAAAAGAATCATACCACAGTGATATATGTGCACCCATGTTTATAGCAGCACAGTTTGTAATAGCTAAAACTTGGAAACAGCCCTAGGATCAGTAGGGGAAAGGAAAGAAGGGAATAGAATTAATATGAGAAAATGGAAACAAAGTCTTTGTAAATAGGGGGAGGGATGGAGGTGTTGAAGGGAGGGCAGGGGAAGGGGGAAAAAAGTTAAGAACCAAGAGAGATTATGTAAAGGTGCAAATTTCCAATGATGAATGTCATTATATTGTATACCTAAAATGTACCAATAAAATAAAATTTTAAAAAAAGAAGACTGACATCATACAGAGGTAAATAGACTTGAAAAATCAGTGATTGCTTCCTCCTGCAACATAGAAAATAGTCCTTAAGAAATTGAGCTTTCAGGTTTGAACTTGAATGGAAAATCTCTTCCCAGGTCTATCTTGCTGTTTTCCTACTTTAATATTTAGATTTTTAAAAAGCGCTCTGGAAAGGGTATGGTGTAGCTCAAGGGTAGAGCTCATGTTCTTTCACCACACTATCAAAAACAGAAGCAAACAGAACCCTAGAATGTTAATAAACCCAAAGAAGTTACTAGCTGGTTCTCAGCTGAAGTGTGTGCAAAGGGTATTTTCTAGGTTATCTCACACTGTACTTTGTAATCTTGATGAAGAGTCAGCTTTTTGAAAAAAAGGCTGCAGCTTTACTTCTCATTTTGAATAGTTCATAAATGGTAGAAAATTCAGAAGCTATGAAAGGGCATACATCTTTTTTACAAGTTCTCTTGTGAGATCTCATGCAGTGTCTTTCGGTATTTCAAGACAGTTTTCCCCTAAAAAATGACTATGACTACCAGCTTCTTGTGTCTCCCTGCAGAGACTTGCTGTACAGTGTTACTTACACAATCCTACGTGTGTATATATTTTTTAAATTCACACGTGTAAATAATGGTGGTACAACTCAATGTGTTATCAGACTCTTGAGTTTTGCCAGTGTAGGAGAAAAATAGTTCATTGTTTAAATCTGCATTTCTGTTATTTTTACAATAACATAGAATTGAAGTTTATCATCTTCTTGGGATGAATTTAAAATACTCCTTCCTGTTTATCTTCTGCTTTGGTTTGTGTTTATGAAAGCTGTTGAAAAATGTATATCAATCTAGCAGTTGATTGTCTGTGTCACTTAGAAAAGCCCTAGGTGGAAGAATCAAGAAAGTATTTATGGGGCTTGGTTTTTGTTTTGTTTTGAGCATTTAAAGTCTGATGCATCCAGAATTATAGAATAAGACTACGAAGTGGGCAAGTTTTCATTTGAGGCAAAAATGGTGCTGTGTATTTCTGTGTATATATTACATTTAAATTGTAGAGTGTCATTTTGGGTAAGGATTTGCTGTTGTAGTCCTTCTGTTTTAATGGAAAGATGAGAAAATCTTTCATGGAAAGATTTTTCATGGATTATTAAAGTTAATGCTCTTGTGGAAAATGCGTTGCTCTTAATATGCTATTAATCTTGTCGTTTTCACTTGAGATTAAAATGTAAACGTAGGTGTTCAGACTATATACATTGCATGGGGCTGGGGATGTAGCTCAGTGGCGCCGCGTCTGCTTGGCAAGCGCAAAGTCCTGAGTTCGATCCGTGGTACGGGGGGGCGGGGGCGAGGGGGGCGGAATATACATTGCATAGTTGCTGGGAAGGATGTCAACAGTCCTCTCTGAGCAGACCCGGTGCAGTTGGAGGAACGCTGTCCTAACCCCAACCCTAGCTCTCACCCTAACCCCAGCTCCAATCCTAACGCTGGCAGAGGGTACTGGTGCCCCCTGGCGGCGAGGGCGGGCTGTCCTCCCCTCCGTGCCCTCGTCCCGTCTGCCTGCCCCGCCCGTCCCATCCTGCTGTGACGCAGGCTGGGACGCCCCTTCGGAGAGGGTCCGCGGCGCCTTGGCGGACCTTGCGGCCGCCTTCCTAGGGCATCTGCGCCGCGGAGGAGAAAAAGCAGAAGGGGACGAGGGAGTGGCCCCTCACACTTGGGGCTACTGAACTTCGGAGTGTGGCGCTGCTCTCTCCGGGCTGTCCTGATGCCTCGGGGTCCTACGCTGGGTGCTCCTGGGGTCCCGTGGGTGACCGAGGTGATCTCGGGTGAGTGCGGCTGGGGGAAGGAAGGAAGGAGGGAAGGAGGGAGGGACCTCGACCAACACGCACCCTGGGAGGTGTGGGGACCACAGCCGGAAAGAGGGCCCTGGGCTGGTGGCGGAGGAGGGGACGCCCTGTCGCACGACTTTCCACAAGTGAGCACAGCTTCACAGCGAGGGACAGGACGTGGGAGCACGACCTTAAGCCTGTCTTGGAGTGGGGCGATTAGTGACTTCAGCACCTCCCGCGGAGACCTCTCTCTGCTCCTGTCACCTCAGCGATTTGTCTGAATGTACAAAAAGAAACCCTAGTAGTGATCCTAAATTAAAAAAAAAAAGTGATCACTCAGAACAGTTGGGAAAACATACGGTTTGGTTTGTTGTGTTCTATGGCTGCAAATTGTAATTTTGAAGGAGTTTTGAAAGCATTCTCTCATTTTTTTTAAAGCTTCTTACTTTAGTGACTTTTTAGGATGTTCTGAAAACAACAAACTTCATGTGGAAGCTAGAGTCAAGGTGGATGGCTTGCCATCAAACACAGACTGGCCTTCGCTGAAATTTCTTGGTCCAGGGGAACTAAAATTTTATGATGAGAAGCTCCCTCAGAAATAAAACCACATGCTGGGCATGCTGGTGCACACCTGTAATCTCAGCATTCGGGAGGCTGAGGCAGGAGGATTGCTGCAAGTTTGAGGCCAGCATGGGCAACATAGGGAGTTCAAGGCCAGCCTAAACTACACAGCAAGACCCTGTCTCAAACCCACCCCCCCAAAAAAGAAAAAAAAAATCAAACCATATCATTACACAAAATGTCACTTAACCGCTATTGAAACAGTTCAAGGCAATTTCTCCTTTTAAAAAAATTGCTTATTATTCTCTACCAAAAGAGCCAGAATATTTTGAACTTACTTATTGTCACCCCTACTATTTAAAACTTGCATGGACAAAATAAAACTTTGACTTCATCAGAAATATTGCATCACGCTATAGGAAACTTTTTAAATTAATAACTTGAGGAAGGAACATTGCCATTTTTCCATTTCAGATCGCCTTTGCTTTGCCATTCTCTACAGCAGACCAAAGAGTGCATCAAATGAACATTATTTCAGCATAGATAATGAACTTGAATATGAGAAGTAAGTACTGCTTTTTAAAGATTGTTAGTAACTGTAAAGGTATGTTTACAAATAGGGTAGCTTTGGAAAATTATAAATCTGTTGGTTACTTATTGGAGGAATTTTTAAAAACCTGTGGTAATAAAATAGATTGGTGAGTTGGGGTGAAAATGAACTAACTTTCCTGCCCCCTTTTGGGTTTTTTTTTGGTGGGTGGTATTGAAGATTGAACTCAGGGCCTTGTCTGTGCTGGTCAAGTGCTCCACCACTGAGCTAACATCCCTAATCCTTCTTAAATTGTATTTTGAGACAGGGTGTGGCTAGGTTGCCTGAGATGGGCTGGGGTCAAATTTGGTATCCTCCTGCCTCAGTCTTCCAAGTAATTGGGATTATAAGTGTGTACACCACAGAGAACTTTCCTACATTTAAACATTCATATTTTATATTTAATGTAAGCTAGAGGCTTTGCCAGTGGAAAATATGTGTGGAAGATCAGATTTCTTAATTTAAACGGATTTTTCATGTTAGTTGAGGTTAGATTTAGGGTGTAGCATTTGTTGCATTTTCGGTTTTTCTGAGCTGGAGAATGAACGCAGGGCCTCAGACATGCTAGGCAAGTGCCCACCACTGCGCTTTAGCCCACTTGGTGCTTATATAAATAGATGTTGTGTACCAGAATATTTTTTCCACTAAGACAATTCCTTTGAATTATATAGCCCATATCAATTTGGTTTGGTGGATGCTTTCTTGTCATTTATTTAATCTTGTAGACCCAAAAAAGATATATCTAGAATATACATGTTTCTATTTTTCAATTTTAAAGCTTCTACGCAGATTTTGGACCACTCAATCTGGCAATGGTTTACAGATACTGTTGCAAGATAAATAAGAAACTAAAGGTAAAGTCTTTTTTACTTAAGATTTGATGTTAGTAGTTATTGTTGGCTTAATCTTGGGGAGAAAAGTAAGGAAGACCTATTTCTTTTTAAAACGGTTATTTAAAAATTTGAACAAAATAAGCTGGGCATGGTGGCGCATGCCTGTAATCCCAGCACTTGGGAGGCTGAGACAGAATGGCTGGAGTTCTGGGATAGCCTGGGGTACATGGCGAGTTCAAGGCCAGTCTGAACTACATAGCAAGACTCTGTCTCAAAACAACAACAAAAATAAAATAAAATTCTTTCAATAAAATAGTTTCTTGCCGAAATGACATTTTAAGATATCTTGAAAACACGATGGAAGTCTGGTGTTTTGCTGCAGTGGTGTTTAGGATATACACATTTGTGTGTGTGTGTGTGTGTGTGTGTGTGTGTGTGTGTGACAGTGTATATTTTCTGGAGTTTCTACTTTAGAAATACTTAAGTTTGTGTCATTTAATTATGGTTGGGTTGGTGATACGCAAATATTTGAAAAGTCAAAGTGGATTTTTTTTCTAGTTCAATAAACATCTTACTGTCTGACAGGATGGAACTGAAACGAAATGAGAAATTTTTCCCTTGCTGTGGTCCTTGTTCTTTCTGCCTTCATTCTGATAAGGGAGTAGTGCTGGCCAGCTGCCAAGAAAAATGGACTCTGCTTTCCTTCCTATCTTGAAATTCCTTTAGCACTGTGACTCTTAACTTTGATCCCTTATATATATGATTAAGGAACAAGAGAAACACACCATCAGCATATCCTAAAGGCTGTTACCACTGGACGTTAAAAAGTATGTTTTTGGGGCCAGGGATTTAGCTCAGTGGTTCTGCTGCCTGCCTCGCAAGCGCAAGGACCAGAGTTCAATTCCCGGTACCAAAAAAAAAAGTATGTTTTTGTTAGTTTGAACTTAGACCTCATTTCTTGATTTTAAAAGTTTTGAATTATTGATCAGGGACAGTAAAAGTGTTTGTGTACTGCTCACTATCAGTTTCAGATTAGTCACTATAAATTGTTGAGTAGGAAATACTGCATTTGGGCGCAGGCACTTAAAAAAAATGTATTCAGTGGATTACCTGTCAGACAACTATAAAACAAAATAAAATTTATTTTTACTTAAAATTTTAATTTACCTTAATGAAAAACTTTTGCTCATCAAACCACATTTACTACAAATTTATACAGAGATGGAAACTTTTCCTTCTTCCTGGGGTCCTAAATAGGAATGTAAACATTCATGGACTTGCCAATTGATGCCCACACACTTTTCCACTTGTTAGTGGCAGGTCTTGGTCTTTTGTTTCCTTTTTTTTTTTTTGGTACCGGGGATTGAACTGGGGACCTTGTGCTTTCAAGGCAGGCGTTGGAACCACTGAGCTAAATCCCTGGCCCTTGGTCTTTCTTTTGTTTCCCACAGGGCTAGGAAGCTGAAAATAAATCCCTTTCCCTGAACTTTTTCTTTTGCTTTAATTTTGAAAGAGGGCCCCTCCCCAACCTGTGCCCAGGAGTCTGTGGACTTTGATCTGTTGGGTCAGCCAAAATTACATCTTTGTTTTTTAATAATTTACTAGAACAACTTGTATCTGTTGACATCCAACCTAACTGAAGCATTACCGCCTGTCCAGTCAGTAGTGATAAGAAGTGGATTGAAAGTTTGAAAGGAGAAGCTTTGTACCATGCTTTTGTGGCCAGATGGCTGATTGGGTTCTGTTCTTGTTTTTTTAATCAACTTTGGTCTCTTAATACATACACATTTGTGCTAGAAAGTGGAACATTGGAACCCTGGAATGTGGATTTCAGAGAAGCCTCACAGCACACGCTTACTGGGCTGAACAGACTCTGTTCCCAGCCTTACTCACGTTGATTTCTGCTCATGTTTGTGAAGCACAGTTGGGGAAGTGCTATTTGATTGTGTGTTCCTATGTTTTGAAGTTGCATATCTTTTTTATTTTTAACTTTAGATTGCTCTATAATATGCATACAGAACTATGTACAGGTCCTTAAGTATACAGCTCAGTGAGTTTCCACAAATGGAATATCTGTGGGTAATTATCTCAGTAGATCAAAAACAAAACTAGCAGCCCCTGGAAGCCCCACTTGCCCTCTAGGTTGCACTCTCTGCACGCCCCTTCTTGCTTATTTAGGATCCTGATTTTCAGCAGCATTGATTATTTTTACCCTGTTTTATCCCTCCTTCCCTCTCTCCCTCCCTTCCTCCCTTCTTCCCTTCCTCCGTTCCTCCCTTCCTTCCTTCCACCTTTTATCTTGAAGTACCAGGAATTGAACCCAAGACCTTTGTGCTGAACTACATCCCTAATCCCACCTCCTTTTAAAAAAAGTGTTTAGACAGGGTCTCACGAAGTTGTTAAGTTCCCCAGGCTGGGTTTGAACTTTCAATCTTGTCTCATCTTCCCAGAGTGGCTTACTTTTGTACTTTAATGTCATGTTTTTGGAATAGACTACTTAAAAAGCAATTAAGAAAGAAATGGTTTCTCCCATATCTGTTTCCATCTTCTTTCAGAGGCAGTCTATGCTTTTTTGCTGTTGTGTTGTAGACCCCGAGACACTGACTTTTCTGTCCCACTTCACTAGTCTTAGATGGTATGATTATGAGGCTGAGTCAGAGCACTGTTGAGTGGCTGGCATCCTGCAGAGAACTTCAGACTTTGCTCAGAGTGTCACAGCTGTTGGTTTCACAGCCCCTCAGCACTTCTTGGAAATGACCCAGAGGTAGTGTGTCTCTATATCTGTTCATGTCACATCCCCTTCTCTCCTCTTGAATTTTGTATTCATTCTAATTTCAGAATGTCTTTATGGGAAGGTATCTGGTATTTGGGGGTTTCAACATTAATCTTTTCAAAGCTCTTGTTAATGTGAATGCTTTGTCGTGAGATTTCTAATGTGTCTTTATCATAAGGTAGAAGTTTTTAAACTTAAAAAATACTAACAACTATTTATTTTTATGCAGTCCATTACAATGATGAGGAAGAAAATTATTCATTTTACTGGCTGTGATCAAAGAAAACAAGCTAATGCTGCTTTCCTTATTGGATGCTATATGGTAAGTACTTAACTAGTACAACTAGGTCATCTCTGTTCTCATGAGAACACCTAGCTAGGATGTGCGAGGACATGCATGGCAGTGTTGTAAGAAGATGGGTAACATACCATGTTGGTTAGATTCCCAGGTGCTCTGTTAGGGTTGTTGGAAGTATGTTTTGGGATAGCCACTATTTACGTGAGACTTAAGAATTTTATTTATTTATTTATTTATTTATTTATTTATATGCTTGCCAAATGTAACGATCATATTCATCATAGGGCATTTGTACCTGTAGATAATATATCTTAATTCCTTAAGAATTTCATTTATTAGTAAGTTATGTTATGTTGGAAGATCTTTGGTTTTCTATTTATTTGTTTGTTTGCTTATTATGTGGTTCTGGGGGTTGAACCCAGGGTTGTTTTTTTGGTGGTGGTGGGGGACCAGGGATCAACTCAGGACCTTGCACTTGCAAGGCAGGTGCAGTGCCACTGAGCTAAATCTCTGACCACCCATATTTTTATTTTTATAGTCCCATTTTATTTTGTATTGAAGTGGATTCATCTGCAGGAACCCCTGCAGCTGTAGTTTTCCCTGAGTTGACTTAGAGCTCAGAGCAGGACACCTCCATCATGGTCTGATAGAGAAGCCTCTTCTCATCTTTTCTGTCCAGTGGAGAGGAGTAGCTCTAGGATGTTTCTTACACTCCCATCCCACCAGAAGTGTGAAAGATTTTTAAAAATTAAAGAAAGGATTGGTTTTGGAGCTTTTTAGGTAAGTTCTTCCTCACCTTCAAATTGCTACCTGGCTCTGTCATGCCTGTCTTCACCTTCTAAAATTCTTTTCTTGTATATAGTTTGATAATCTGGAATTTATAAAAATTAGACCAAAAACTAGTGAAGCTCATTGAAATTGAATATCAAATAATTTCATTTATTTGTATGTTTGTTTGCTTTGTTATTTTTGGTACTGTGGTTTGAACTCAGGGCTTTACCCTTGAACTACATCCCCAGGAAAAATTGATAGGAAGAAAATATTCCAAATGAACTGTTTACTTTTAAACTCTGAGCTGTTATTCATAAACAGACTTAATATGGGGTGGTAGGGAGAAATGTGAAGCTTTAGCACACAGGAATAGAGCATTCATAGTCCTTTTTTTTTTTTTTTTGGTATTGGGGATCGAACTTGTATCCTTGCGCTTGCGCAGCAGGTGGCGAAACCACTGAGCTAAATCCCCAGCCCAATAGTCCTATTTTTGTCTTAAGAACGGAAGAGGTTATATGTCACAAGAACCTAAAACATAGACTGATGTGTCCATCTTCTGTTAGTCCTTTTGTCAGATGGCCAAGCATGTCCTGTGTGTCATTAGAAGTGACAAGAGTGACTTGATTGTTCAAAGTATTGTCTCTGATGCGTCTGGGTAAATGGCTTTACCATTTTAGCTGTCTGAATCCTGGAATCTTTGATGACAAATCAGAGTCAAGTTAAAAGTCTTCTATTCCACTGAGAAAAGAGTTGAGGTTTAAAGATAAATGAATTTTTTTTTTGTTTTTTTTACAAAAGGGTATGTGCCCTGTTTTTTATGAAATGATGCTTGCTGCTCTGTTATGTGGCAAGTCAGTGACTGCTAGCCAGATTTGGGGACTGTGGTACTTAACCATGTCATTTCAAAGTAAAGGTGAAATTTTGAGTGGAAACGTAAATGCTTTTCAAAACAAATTCATGATTAAAGGAGCATTTTGAAAATAAAAATTTGAGATTTTGTTTTGTCATCTTGTAAAAAATATCATGCAGAAAATCTGTATTTGCACCCTGAGAAATGTAGAGAAAAGCTTATATTTATAGAAGCAGGACGCATATGTGTGTGTATATGTGATTTCTACATACACATTCACACACTGTATGTTTGATGTTTACCAATAGCTCTATCACCTGCGTTTTAAAAACTTAGTTACCTGGGCCGGGGATTTAGCTCAGTGGTTTCGCTGCCTGCTGCCTAAGCGCAAGGACCTGAGTTTGATCCCTGGTACCAAAAAAAAAAAGTTAGTTACCCATCCTTTCATTTTAGTATATATTTTATCTTTGTTATGGCTTGTATCTAGATGTCTCCCCAAAGCCTCATACAGTCATAGATGGCACTTTTTGGAGGTGGCTGGATCTAGGGTGTGTGATGCTGGGATTAAGAAAGGCCCACCTTGGGTGAGGGTGGCACCACTCAAAAGGTGGGTAGCCTGGAAGAGATAAAAGGGAAGGGCAGGCTGCTGCTGCTTCTGCTGCTATCGTTGATTGCTGCTTGCTGCCTTTTGCCTGCCCTGCTTTACCTGAAACCACTACAAACTGTAAGTCGAAACAAACATTTCCTCCTTTAATTTTGAGTGTTGGGTATTTTGTCTCCGCAAGAAAAGTAGCTAAGATATATATATATATTTTTGGTACTGGGGATTGAAATCGGGACCTTGCGCTTTCAAGGCAGGTGCTGGAACCACTGAGCTAAATCCCCAGGCCATCTAAAATAATCTTGATACTAAGATTATATTCATGTTTTCCCAATTGATCCAAAATATCCAAGCTGTCTAATGCATGGGCACATGCTGACTGAGGTGGTTGTGCCTCTGATTTCTTACTCTTCGCACTCGCTATTTGATCACACTGATTTGTGGAAGAGGCCAGCCCTGTTGTCTGGTAACATGTTCCACCTTTTGAGTTTCTCTGGCTTTTCTTCCTCTGGAGTATGTTTACTCCACACTTTCTGTGGAGTATATTTAAACTCCACAGAAATAACTTGAACCTGTGGAAGTTATATATAAACACTTATGCATTAGTAGTAAATGTTGCATCATACAAGGATACAAAAGTGATCACTGGAGTAGGTGGTAACCATCAAACCCTTCAGTATGTGGTTTTTTCCTTCTGACTGAAAGAAAGTATTCAATATGGTGTTGACACTCTTCATATATGCAGTTGCCTGTCAGCCATTCACCTGTGTTTAAACAATAATTCATATTCCAGTCATGCACTACATAATGATGCCAAGGCACTGATGGACCCCAGAAACCATGGTGTTGTTGCCTAGTGATGTCATAGCCATCTTAGTTTGTGTGAATTCATCCCATGGCCTTTGCATAAAGATAGTCATGTTGGGCTGGGGATTTAGCTCAGTGGTGCCACCGCCTGCCTTGCAAGCGAAAGGTCCTTGAGTTCGATCCCCGGTACCAAAAAAAAGATAAAGTCATGTAAAGATGCATTTCTTAGTCCGTGTCCCCATGAAATGATACCTGACTGTACTTGCCCAAGTTAGTTTTATTAAGGTTTTGATAATGTTTTTCTAATTATTTCTTGTATCCTTTATTTATTATCTGGCTTTCTTTTGTGGAAGATGAGCTTTCCTTCTTATGGTTGGGGCTATTTTGTTATACTCGAATAAAATTACCTACAGAAAAGAGACTATGGGTCATTTCCCTTTAATTGCCAATTTCAAAGTAGCGTTGTTTCAGTAGCTAAAAAACAGGAATTTTATAACCTGTTGTAAAATCATCTAAACAAAGGTTTGGGCACATTTACTCAACATTAAAAAAATGTGCAACAGTTTTCCTTTATTTTTTAGTAAAATCATTAGCATTTGGGAAGTTGAGAATTTGCTAACTAACGAACGTCGTTTGTGAGTGAGATTAAAAAATGAGTAGTCCTCCTTCCATATCTGAGGGTTCCACATCTATGTATTCAACCAACTACAGGTTGAAAACATTTTTTTTAATTGCATATGTTCTGAACATATGTAGACTTTCTTCTTCATTATTCCCTAACCAATGCAGTTATAAACATCTATTTACATAGTGTTAGGTATTATAAGTAATCTAGAGATGATTCAAAGTATACTGGAGGATGTATGCAAATACCACACCGTTTTGTATAAGGAATTTTAGTATGGGGGGGGGATGGTTCTGGAATCAGTCCCTGAGGGGGTCCTAAGGGATCACTGTATAATCATTTGGTCAGCTGAGCTCATGGTGCACATACTATACTGCATTTGCACTGACAGATTATGGAAATTTTTTTTTAATTATGGCAGTCATTAAAATCAAGAACTGAATTGATTTAAAAATCAAGATTTTTAAACAAATGAAGCATATTAGTCATAATAACTTATTTTAAATAACTTTTTTAAAAGTACAATTAAATGTAGTAACTCATGTTAGAAATATTTTGTCTTTGAAAAGTTTTTACACGTACACTTCGTAATGGAGGTGGTATGTTAATACACAACTTGTTTACTATGTATGAAGCCCTGGGTTTGATCTTCCGCACTCCCCCCAAAATAAAGAAGGAGGAAAAAGTAAAATTATTTGAAAGAGGCTATTATATGGTGGGTGGAGTTCAGTGGTTTAGGTTCAGACTGAGCTGGCTTTGAATTTTATTTTAGGATCTGGTGCAAATTAAATATTCACTAAATGTTACTCCTTTTTTTCTTGGTTCTTCCTACTACTTTTTAATACTTTTAAATCTGCTTTTTAAATTAAAAAATAGCAAAGTTACCCTTTGGTCTTCCTGGTTATCAACGTTGGTTACATTTAACTGTCATGTATTTTATATTTTCCTGCAGCTTCAGCATTCATCTCTTCATAGGTTAAGTGCACTTTCCAGGATGCGTCTGGACAATTAACTATGGTTTCTATCATTTTTTGTATATAAAATAAATGCGAAGCATTCTGAATGTAAAATGCATGACACAAGCAAACTGTTGGTATATAGCTTGCAAATCTGGCTTCCTGGAGTGTTTAATAGATTATTTTGATGGAGCCAATTGTGGTAAAATGTAAGTTCCCTGGTTAAAATTTACCACTTTTTAAAAAACTTGCAAGCAGTTTTTTAATGGCCTTTAGCAAATGGCTTAACTTGTACACATTTATATGGAAAATTATGATACTAATTAAATTCTAAGAATATATTAACTCAGCAATCTGTGAGTAAAATCCTAAATTGTCTTGAATTTGAGATTGCCTCAACAGTTATGATAAGAGCTCAGGGATTTCATTTGTTATTTAATGATGATCTTTTCAACCTGTGGTCCATTTTTTAAAATGATTTAATCATCAGAGTACTTAGTGCTGGGTTTTAGGGTGGCTGCTGGAGGAAGGGACCATAGGAGGGGCATTAAGGTGCGCAGGGTGGAGGCTGTGCGTCAGAATCCAGTTCAAACAGCCTCCCCAATGGGGTGACACCAGACACCAGTGTGTGGACCAGAGGCTGTGTAAGCACCCATCTCCAGACACACACACACACACACACTCTCTCTCTCTCTCTCTCTCTCTCTCTCTCTCTCTCTCTCTCCCTCCCTCTCTCTCCCGGTTTGTGAAAGGCAGACAAACAGCAGCCTGGCAACTATAAATAGCAGCCAGGCCTGCAATCAGATGTGGTGGAGGGGAGGCAGCTGTTCTCCCAGCAGGGTCGATCAGGTTTACTTCCCTTTCTTACCCAGGGGGCTGGACTGACCTTTCAGCTAGCTGCCCTTGATGCTTGCCCCCGGGGGTGCTGCTGGTAGTGGTGGTGGTTGTGGTGGTGGTGGTATTAACTTTGGGAAGTAATGAAGAAAAGTCGCCCTCTGACTACTTATCCTTGATTACAGATTGGTTAAGCTTTCTGGAATTTTGGCTCCCTTTCTGTATCTGTCCTTGTTTTCAGATAGTACAGTTTCTTGTCTATAAATACAGCCTGAGTGGAAGGCCTTCTTCCACCAGTAACAAGCAGTGGAATCTTGGATGAGCAGTTATTGCCTCGGTTTGGAAAGTACCAGCCTGCCAGTTTATGTAACTCATACAGTATTTGTAAATGGTTGTAGGTCCTCCTCCAGGTTTTACAATTAGGAGCCTCCATCTTTTTGGGGGGAGGGGTTATCAGGGATCAAACTCGGGACTTTGCGCTTGTAAGGCAGGTGGCAGATTCCATCAGTTTTTTAAAAAATCAAGACTTGTGCTTTGTGTTTGAAAATCCCCCCACCACTGGGACAGTTCACTTATTATTTTTAAAATAAGCTGTCTGGCCTTGGTGGATATGTGTTTGCTATTCCAGATTTCCAGTTTACTTTTTTCTGAATTGAGGATTATTGTGCCAAACTACTATATGTATATGTGAATAAAAGTAGTTTGAAAAGTTAAAACTAGTAAAATACAAGGCCATTTGATTATTTTTAAAAAGTGATTTGGGATTTTCTTTTTTCTTGCCAGTATTTGTGTAAGAGCTATGAAAGTAATTTTACTTACTTTTTCATGTAAAATTGTTCATGCTGTATATTCTTTGCCCTGTTGACCTTTTTCTTTTTAGCATTTGGTTGTAAAGTTGTGTTGATTCTTAACATTCTGTGTTAATCCGTGGAGTGATTTTTTTTTTTTAAAAGATCAATCAGATTCTTGGCGTCATCTGGCTGAAATATGAAAATAATTAGCAAGAATTTTTAAATGCTGCACACATTGTGACATTTTTTCCACAAAGAATATTTGAAAATAATTTACTGGTTTCTCAGGCAGCTGCATTTGTTGTTTGGGATTTAAATGTTCTTTGTTGTTCTTAACTGTGGAGCAGGATGGCTTGTATAATGTTTGTTTTCTATTATTAATTAATTAATTTATTTATTTATTTTTGGTACCAGGATCGAACTCAGGTCCTTGCGCTTGCACAGCAGGCGGTGAAAACCACTGAGCTAAATCACCAGCCTGTTGTTTGGTTTTTAAACTGTATGTAGACAAAGCTTCAGATCATTGTGTATAAGAATAGAAGTATGAGTCCCCAGTACAAATAAAAAAAAAAAAGAATAGAAGTATAAAACATATATAACTGGGTTTGAATTATTTGAAGCCTGGATCAAATGATAAATGATTGAGTTATGATCCCTTTGTTTCAGCTACTCACTGCATCTGTCAGCCACTAAGTACCTTCTGGGTTTTAAAAGGTAGATTTGTACCCCAAGGCCAGAAGTAATCTGGTGCAAGCAGATAGGTTTTAAAAGTCCAGGCAGTGGCCAGATATGTAAATCTCAGCACTTGTGAGGCTGAGGCAGGAGAATTGTTGTGAGTTTGAGGCCAGCCTGGGATATATAGCGAGTTCAAGGCCAGCTTGAACTACATAGTCAGACCCTGTCATACTGCCACACCCCCTCTCCCCCAATTTTTTTAAAAAAGAGAGGTGGAGTCTCACTGTATTGCCCAGAAAGCTCTGAACTCCTAGGGACAGGTAGTCCTTCTGCCTCAGCTTCCTGAGTAGCTGGGAATACAGGCATGTTCCACCACCTCTAGCTAGCTGTGGTTTTATTCAGCAAAAAAATAGCTTTGTACCATGACTTTGAAAAACACTATTGACTTCTCAAGCATATTCTACTACAATATTTCATTCTTTCCAGGAAATTGCTATTTGTCCCTTCAGAGAAATTTCTTACCCTCTAAAGATGAGAATGGCTCATTGGTGCATCCCAGGCTACATCTCTGCACTTGCTGCTGAGTGTGCTACTGTCTGTTGATGCATAGCGCATTGTCCCAAACTAAGTGACTTGCAGTAACAGTTAACATTCTCTCAGTTTGCCTAGGTTAGGTATCTGGGAGTGGATTCCCTTGGGTGGGTCTGGGTCTGGATCTCTCCTGGGCCGCAGTTATACATCCGAGGGTCCCCTCCTTAGGTGGCTTATGCACATGCTTGGCAGGGCAGTGCTGCATGCTGGCAGGAAGACTTGGTACTCACCATGGACTGCATGAATGCATATCCTCCCACAGTAGGAAGGGTGGGGAGGGCTCCTCATTTTGGGAGGATGCATCTCTATGACCTAGCCTGAGAAGCCACACACGCTCTGTGAAAAGCAATATTCTTTTCCACACAGCAGCTTTTACTGTGGGAGGGGCTCGGGGAACATGGAAATACCAGGAGATAAGATTCTTTGGGGCCTGTCTTGGAAGCTTAAACTTTTGCAGCTCTCAGTCATTTGTTGTTTTCTGGTTCCAAATAGCTCTGTGGAATTAGAGTGGGCATTCTGTATATGTAACTTCTGATGAAAATATACCCAAAGAACTTGGGAAATGTCTATAGAGTCTAAATTGTTCAGAGCACAATGATAAAATGTAGGTTTAGAGTTAATTAGTCTGAGAATTTAACATAGAAATGACTTAATATGGTTCGTCTTAAGTGACAAACTTAGAATAATTTCACTTGGGAAGGACTTTTGAATCCAGAAGCTGAGTAGATGTAGAAGAAAAGTATGGATTGCTAGCAAATATTTCTTTGGTGGTTATATTAATAGATTTAGTCTCAATCTGTGAATTTCCTTCCATTTATCTCATCATGCTTTGTATTTTGGTACATTCATTTCATTAGATTTTTAGGGGTTTTCTTTTTGGTACCAGGGATCGAACTTGGGACCTTGGGCTTTTGAGGCAGGGGGTGGAACCACTGAGCTAAATCCCGGGCATTTCATTAGATTTTTAAAATTACAGTTTTTAAAAGTTCATCACTAGGAATTTAGGTTTTCCTCATAGGAAAAAATTACATTGTTCTTACATTCTTTGAATTGAACTTGTGTTCCAAGTGTAATCCATAGTTATTTAATATACTAGAGACTTATGTAAGAGGAGTTATCTTAAATTGGGTAGGTGCTGGGTGGCTCAGGTTCCTAGGGAAGCCAGAGAACCCAGCTCCACTGATTGTACAAAGCTTGTTTTACAGTGACAGCATTCTGTCTTCATTTAGAAGTAAATTGCCCTTTTCTTCTCTTTTCAAATGTAGGTTATATATTTGGGGAGAACTCCAGAAGATGCATATGGACTCTTAATCTTTGGAGATACATCCTATATTCCTTTCAGGTAAATATTTAGAATGATGTGATATCAGACTCTTGCCATAACTCTCTTTATAGTTTTTTCTTGTAGATAGATATTTTATGTTCGGTGTAAGTAACACTATAGACCCTAGGTTCTCGACAGTGACACTATTGCTATTTTGTCATGGATGCCTCCTTGTGTGTTACAGAATGTTCAGTGGCATCTTTGCCCTGTGCTTACTAGATGCCAGTAACATCCCCACCCCTACTTCAGTGATCAAAATACAGAATATCTCTGGACATTGCCAGATGTGCTGAAAGTGTAGGAGTAGAATGGGTGAGCCCCATTTCCCCTGGTTGAGAACCACTATCATTGATGAAAAAAGTAGGCTTGTAGACAGGTGAGAGAATTCTGGAGCTACATATGCAGAACTATGATTGAGGAATTTGGCTCCTGAAGAGTGAAGCACTAAGTTTCCCTAGTAATCAGAAGTTACTTTCTGGGGCAAAATCTGACCCCCGTTTCTAGTAGCAGAGCCAGCAGAGGTAGTGGGAGAGGCTGCTAATATGGAACCATTCCCAACAAACCCATTCAAGCAGTTGTATTCTGAAAGTGGTGGATAGTACTGTCTTTTCATAAATGCATGACTTCCTCATCTCGAACTATGTGATTATCTTGAAGAAATTAAAAAAAAAAACCTTGTGTTAATTTTCCTTAAATCAAATTCTAACAGTTTCTCTATTTGTTCATTGAAATAGTTATGTAATCAGAATGCTCCTATGATGCTTAAAGGGCAATAAATGCATGAAATAATTTTACTCATTATATAATTTTTTGATTATTTCATGCTATTGTAATTTCACTGTTCTACTCACAAATAAGTTGTACTAGGATTGTTACATATACCTTGAGTGTCAGATTTTGAAGATCCAGCCATATCTTTAAAAACATAATGTTAAGAATCTCCCTGTCCTTTGGGAAGGTTTCCCTAATAATGATCAGCAGAATCTTTTCAAATACCTGTGAACTCATTCCACAAAATAGAGACCTGTTAGGACCGTCTGCAGAAGTCAGTGATACATTGCATTTAAGTGTGCGTATTAGTGATGAACCAAATTAGAAGAATTGATTCGAGCCCAGTATCATCATCACCTTTCTTTCTGCCTCATGAGTGATCTCAGGAATTGTTTTCTGAGCTGGGTGGGAAGATGGGAAGATGATAGGTTGAGACCAAAGCATGTGTATCATTCACCTTTTCGAAACATAATAGCACCTGTGTTTCCATTAGGAGAAATACTTGGATTTGTGGTCTCTGGGTCACAGCTACATTGGTCATCTCTTGATACACAGTGATAAGTTTGTTTTTTCTCTATAACCATAATCCTTCCTATTCCCATTCCCATAGTTTATCCTACTTAGGTCCTGAAATCTGAACATCCTCACACATTTCACATAGTCTAAGGATCTATGAACCACTGTTGACATGGAAAATCTTTTGTGTTCATTTAAGTATAGGTACTGAAAACAGAATAAATGTTCCTGTGTTTAAAAATTAGTGAAATTTGGCATTGAGAAAAGAAGCTTGTTACTTCTGCTCCCAGAAGTTCCATCCAAAAGCTCTCTAGAAAACAGGACTTAGTTCAGAGTTGTTCAGCTTTGTGAAATTTGAATCTCTTCAGTCATTGATGTCAGATATTAGATTTATCTAAAGCAGTGTTTCTGTTTTTGTGTGTGTGTGTGTGTGTGTGTCTGTGCCGGGGATCAAACTCGGGTCCTTGCGCTTGTACAGCAGGCAGCGAAACCACTGAGCTAAATCCCCGGCCCTAAAGCAGTGTTTCTCAGAGTGTGGTCTGTGAGCTTTTTGTCACCAGGCTGTAATGAGATACAGAGATTGAGAATTAGGTTTTAGAGATATTTATAGTAATATAGTAATTTTTGCTGTGTGGAATCAAATAATGAAAGAATTTGGGCTGGTAGCTTATGGTTTTTTCCCCTTCTATTTTTTCTAGCAATAATTTACAAGAATTTAGCAATAATTTACAATTATTTAGCAATTATTTACAAAAGTAAGATTACTACATTATTGTATGAGAGAATTATAATATTTGCATTCTGTTTTATATCTATTGTATAGAAGTATCAACCTGTGATCGGCTTAAAATATTAAAATTTGGTGCTTTGTCACATTTGACTATTCTATAGAACTTATTTAGAAAGTAGGCCAATCAGAATTGATAAAAGTCTGATAATACTTTGAAAGAAATTATCTTTTTTTTTTTTTTTTTTTTTTGGTACCAGGGATTGAACTCGGGTCCTTGCCACTTGCGCAGCAGGCGGCGAAACCACTGAGCTAAATCCCCGGCCAGAAATTATCTTTTTTATCCTTGCCAGTTCAAGTGCAAAGAATAAATATAAAGTATTGCTAACAAGAGTTTGCAAGAATCTCACTTAATCCTTTTATGTTCAGTAACAATATTTAATTAGATTTAATTCAACTTATTCAGTTCGTTAACCACCGAGTTTAAAAGTGTGTGTGTATACATGGTTTCCTACTAAATTATAGTAAATATTTTTCGTCTAAGTGCAAATATAGCACAAAGTGTAGTTTAACATTTTCTTTCTTTCTTTCTTTTTTTGGGGGGAGCGGGGCGCTGGGTATTGAACTCAGGACCTTGTGCTTGCAAGGCAGTCTCAGTGCCACTGAGCTAAATTCCTGGCCCATAGTTTTAACATTTTCTGGATACCTTAGGATCATTGTTCTAAAGGTCATATACTTCTATTCTCTGATATAATACTGTTTGCTTCTTAGGGTTTTCTTTGTTTTTTGTTTTGACAGCTGTGTATTTTCTTGGGAGATAGTTTGCATGATTGCTAATAGCTTGCTTGTTGACATCAGACAGACAGCGATTTGACTCAACTCTGTTGCTGTTCTCTCTGTGGTCCTTTACAAATTTAAACCTTGATGTGTTTGACTATAAATGGGAACAAAAATATCTTTAAAGAGGTAAATTACATCCCCCATATTGAAACACTTGGTGTAGTTTATAGCCCTCATTCACATTTGTTGAATGTTTTTTACATTCTTTTTAGGTTGATAAGAGTACGTCATAGTCAGGTTTTGCTGTGTATTTGCAGCTCCCACACCCCAGGATGTAGAACACCCCCATCACCCCAGATCTCCTTCCCCTTTGCAGTCAGTAACCCCAACTGTGACTTCTACCGCCATCAGTTATTTTTTATTTGCCTTTGAACTTCATATGTGTGGAATCATTGAACACGTGTCAGAGAGCTGGAAGCTAGCTTTTTTTCTGTACCAAGGATCAAACTCAGGACCTTGCGCTTGCAAGGCAGACACAGTACCACTGAGCTAAATCCCTGGCCCAGAAGCTGGCTTTTTAAAGACTTAATGTCTATGTCCAGTACCAAAAAAAAAAAAAGACTTAATGTTTATGGGGTTTACTCGTGTGTGGCAGACATCAGTAGTTCATCCTTTTTAATTGGTTATATAGCATGCCATTCTGTGAATATACCAGGGTTTGTCTGTTTTTTCAGCGACTGTTCAGGTCATTTGCAATTTAGGGCCAAGGTGAATGTAAGTTGTTATGAAAGCTGCTACTTTTTTAAACTAGTGTTTGACATGATTCTGTAGTTTTCAAGCAGTGCCCCTTTATGGAGTCTCATCTGTTTTTCCAGGTCTTTTAAGTGATGTTAGTGGTGAAATGTTTTCCCTTACAAAGGCTAAAATTCAGATTCAGAGCTGCTCTTCTGTGTATTTGAAGAAGGCTGATGGTTTGGGTGGGAAAAGAGGGTGTAGGTGTGTGTAAAGTTGGAGGTGTTCAAGGAATAAGCATATTAAATAAAGGAAGGTGTTCATCATCTTTTATATAAAGCAGGTTCTCCCAAATGTGTGAACCACATTGTTACCAAGACTGAGTGAGTACATCTTTAATGGGTGAGGAGGGGAGCTGCCAGTTGCTTGAGAGGACAATACTAGCTGACAGTTGAGGAGACATGGCTCAAGTCCCTTGGCTGCTGTTTGAGAATTCACCATTTCCATTGACAATTTGGATTTGGTTTGGTTCAAATTACTTTATTTTCTTAGTTTCTCTGTCTAAAATTTTTTTTATTCCATGAAAAAATTGTTTCTGTAAAACACAGTATTTGTTGATCCGTCATTCAATGGTTTATAAACTTGAACATACCTCACAGTCCTCTGGAGGACCTCTTAGAACACAAATGACCTGGCCCTGCCCCTAGAACTTCCGATTGAGTAGGAGAGAGTGGAACCTGGGAACATGTGTTTCTGTCAAGTTGGCATGATACTGATCCCACTGGCCTGAGTCAACCAACATGCAAGAAGCACTTTTCCAGGCCATTCTGATTTTCTTTCTGAATATTGCCAGTTAGCTGCTGGTAAAATTCTTAACTTCTATGTTGGATAGAGAGAGCTGTTCTAATTTTTACAGGACACACTTAAACTCAGAACCTTAAAGGGCAAAAACTGTTTTGCGTCAAACTCCCATCTGTCTGATGTCAACAAACCCTCTTGCAGCTGATGTGAGTCAGTAATTCTAAACACTTCAGTGAATAATATCTAAAGCTACTTTCCTCATTGATAGTATAACATTGCTATAATCAGTAGTTTCAACCCTTAAGGTTTTGCAAGAATTGAAAGTTAATGTGCAGTTTAGTGTTTCAGGTAAGACATTTGAATGTGAAAACCCAACTATATTGGGCAATTAATGATAGCCCTGTTCTCTGCCTTGTTCTGCCTTACACCCCAAAGAGAACCGCTCCAGTGGGACAGTGTTTGGCATGCCTAGAATGATCGTTATCAAATTCATTTTTATGTTGTCTAACTCCAGAATATTTCATCTTGCAGTAGCTCAAGGTAGCTGAAACAAAGCAAGCAGGGACAGGGAATCTCTTCTTTTTCTGTGTAAAATCTTCCCTGATAGAAAAATTTGCAGTGAGATTACTGTGGGTGTTGACACAGTGTTTAGGTGGAGTTGTCTGTCGACCAATTAAAGCACTTTCTCAAGAGCACTGCTTTTATCAAAGATAGTAGATGCCTTCATTCCTGTGGCTTTATTATCTCTTAAGAAGCAGAAAGAAGTTAACCAGTTAAATTGTTAAAAGTCCTAGCATAATGATAGGACCAAAACATTTAGTAACCATACATCTGGTATCTCACTTATATCTTGGTTTCTCAATTTTTTCCCTACTTGGATGGAGATACATACAAACACCTGCATATTTAGACACACATATACATTTATACACGATCAGAGGCAATCTTTCCTGGTAGCAGTGTGATTCAGTATTTTCCAGTTGAAAGAAAAAATTCAAATGCCCTGGTCTTTGGGAACAGGGCTAAATATTATTGATTAGTTGAATAGAAGGAGGAGGCTCAGTTTTCAAAGGCAGAAGTGATCCAGAGAGATCATCTGAACAATTAGATGCATGCGTGGTTTTAAATTCTATAGTCAGCTGTTTTTTTGAGCATGTGTACTACAGAAAATTAACTGAGTTGTGTTTCAATACTCTTGGAATTTCAGAGATGCTGCCTATGGAAGTTGCAGCTTCTACATTACACTTCTTGACTGTTTTCATGCAGTAAAGAAGGTAAGTAACTCTAGGATGCACTTCGTGTGTTATTGGAGAACTAAGGAAGAGTTAGGGGAGTCCTGGCTTTCTTCCCTAGGGAGCTCCCTGTTAGAACTGCTCCCAAGATGCATATGATTCAGAAGTATCCCATTTTTTAATTAATGTTAAATAAGATGCCAAACTGGGACATACTATATTCTGAATTTCTGGGTGCCTCTGTGCCTGAGTTGGGGGACAGCCAGGTAAAAGCAGGGGACAGGGCTGGGATGTGGCTCAGTGGAGGGGTACATGCCCAGCCTGGGTTCCATCTGCAGCACTGCACCCAAACCAAGATGACATGCAGAATGAGGGAACAGTAAGAGTTAGTTAGGTTGGTGATCCAGAATTGGTTTTGAGGGTATTGTGATTCAGAAAACAAAAAGTAAACAAATTACTGGTTTCCAGGTTCTCTTTGATTTATGTAATTTATAGGTCTGGTTCCTATCAATACTATTATGAGAGACAGTTCTATAACGCAGTAACTGTGAAACACAAATTTTGTTTGCTCACGCTTTCAATTTCTAGTTTGACAAAAGAATTTACAGAGCCAATTAGCGTTTATATGAAGCGAAGTGGAACACTACTGCTTTGTCAAAACCATGTTCAGGGCTAGGGGTGTAGTTCAGCAGTAGGTCATGTGTTTAGCGTGAGTAGGGCCCTGGATTGTACTCTTATCACCAACAAAACAAAACAAAAAAGCTGTTTGGCCATAACTCTAGTGTGTTATGACCTTGTGTGTATGCGTGTGCATATGTGCATGTATGGGGGGGGGTGTCCTTCAGTATCTGCCTGGGAATGCGCCCCATAGCAGGCCCTGGTCACACACAAGGGTGTTCCCTTAGGTGTATTTCCTGAATGTCAGGGTAGCACCAGAAGCAGAAACCTGCAACAGTAGCTCAAGTTTTATGTGACTTGTTTTCTCAGAGGCCAAATAAATGCAGGTGTTTTCCTGGTGTAATGAAATATAGTGGCTTTCTGGGAAATTTGATGAAAATTGTGTCTTCGGATGAGAAGACTACTTGGTATACATATTCAGATGAGCGTCCCTTTCTTCCTGGACCAAGTGGTAAAGGGTGGGGATGTCTTGTGCTCAGATTGCAGTTCCATGACTGGGACCACTGTCAGCTCTGGGGCAGCATGTCAGGCCTCAATGTAGGCAGGGGCTGGGCCCGGGGAAAAAATATCAGGAGACAGAGGCAGCAGGGGTAAATGGCAGCTTCTGGGTGCAGCTAGTCTCTGCCAGGTAGGCTCTAATGTGCTACCGCAAGCAAGCATATTCACCTTTAAAGAGAGCAAAGACAAATGTTAAGGGGCTTGGAAAATGCCCGGTGTAGCATTGTATACCAGTTACTGTTGTTCCTTACTGACCTCCCATAATCCCAACACACAGGAGGCTGAGGCAGGAGGATTGCCATGAGTTTGAGGCCAACCTGAACTACATAGGGAGTTCAAGGCTAGCCTAGCAAGACCCTGTCTCAAAAGGAAAAAAAAATCTGGTATTGTACTCCAAAGTCCTGTGAGCTGCTATGATAGATCAGGTTTGTATTTTTACACTATAGTTTCATTCAAGGGTTAATAGCATCTGCATTTCAATTAGAACATTTTTTCATTTGTGGAAGATTTTGAATATTATTGCATATGAAACATTTGTAAGTGTGATATCATAATTTTAGTACTATTTCTAGTAGGATCATCTTATGAAACTCAAAGGAAAATAGGAATTCCTTGTAAACGTTTTTTTCCTGGTGCTGAGGATGGAAGTCAGGGCCTTATGGACACTGTCACTCTTCCACTGGGGGACACCCAGGCCTTGAACTATGTTAGAATGTCTCACCTACTAGGAACAGTCCTGGTGCAGATGTCATGAAAGATTCTAAATTTAAGGAAAGGAAATTTATCATGGATTTGGTCATGGAATTATTACTAAAATATATTAGTTCTCCTTGAATTTGTTTTCTGATATTAACTACAATCTGAAATATTAAATGGAAAATTCCAAAAATAAAATTAATAAATTTTAAATAACTTTCAGCACAGTGGATTGTTATAAATGTTCTATTTTAGTATTGGTTATTGTTAATCTCTTTGTGCCTAAGTTTTAAATTATCTTTACAACAGGTCCCTGTGTATAGGAAAAAATCCTAGTATGCACAGATTTCTGTACTGTGTGATCTTTAAGTATCCCTGGGGGATCTTGGAACATGTTCCCCACAGAGAAGGGGAAATGACTATAAACATATTTTGTAAAATGCGGACTGTTTAGTTGGTATTCTAGCCTTCTCCTTTTGCGTTCATAGTTTGGAATTTAAATTTTGAAAACTGGATTTACAAGAGTTACCCCTTTTGCACCGGCAGTCCCTTGTTGATCCAGAGTCCTGTGCTTCTGCCCTGTGTGGCTCAGTGGTCAGTGAGCCGGGAGGACACTGCTTGGAGGCCATCCACTCTTGATTTGCCCTTGTCTTAAAATCAGACACTCTGCTTAGTTTGCTTAGCGAGGTCACAGGATAGGATGGAAAATTTATTTTCTTCTTATGGAAAATGGGGTTTTATTTTTCCTCAAAAATTTGAAGTTTAGCATTATGTCACATTGATCTCTTATTATAAGACTATTCAGAAGAATTTGTAAGTGAAGGTATTGTGGGCTTGGGTTGAACTAAACCAGCCCATGGTTTCTTTCCTCATTATTATTTATTTTTAGAAACCATTGGAGTCTGCATTATAATTGAATCTTAAACTTCTCAGTCTTGTACCATAGGTGGTGTTGATCTAATAAGTTAATAGGATTACTTTGATGACATGATTTTATTATGCATGGATAAGATGATTAATAAATGAAAATTTAAAATATTTCGATTATATAACATTGTAACTAATCTCCAGATAATAGAAGTATGTGAAAGATAACAGCCTTACTTCCTTTGAAAACTGTATAATGGAAAGTAATCTAAATGTAATAATACTTTTATGGGGTACCTCCTGATATTTATTGTTGGGGAATTGTGTCCTTATTTGTATCTTTCTTCTTACAAGCTTTCTTTTGGATTTTAGGCAATGCAGTATGGCTTCTTTAATTTCAACACATTTAACCTTGATGAATACGAACACTATGAAGTAAGTTTTCAAGGATAATGTTTTTAACGCTTCCTCCCAGCTTAATTGAGGTATAATGAACAAATAAGTATTATCTACATTTAAGGTATACAGGGTAATGTTTAATACACATCTACCTCTTGAAATGTTTACCACGATCAGGCTAATTAATGTTATCTATCACCTCACTTAGTTTCCTTTGTGTGTATTTGTTGAGAACATTTAGATCTATTCTCAGCAAATTTCAGGTGTACACTGTGTACATTATATCTCTAGAACTTTCTCATTGTTTAACTGGAAGTTTGTAATTTACCAAAATTTCCCTACATGTTAGTTAGCTTTTCTGTTGCTGTAACAAAATACTGGACAAACAACTTACAAAGAGGAACGATTTATCTGGGCTCACATTTTTAAAGGTTTTGGTCAGTGGTCAGCTTGGTGTCCACCATTAGGCCTGTGGTGAGGTGGACATTATGGTGGAGGGAGTGCAGTGGGGCAATGCTGCTCCCCTCTTGGCGGTAAGGAAGCAGAGAGAAAGATGCAGGGGCCTGGGACAAAGCAACACCCTTGAAGGGTATTCCTCTAGTCACCTACTTCCTTCAACTAAGCACCATGTCCTGAACTTTCCACCACTTTCCGTTAGGTAGCCTGTGAAATATGAATCTATAAAGGGACTCACCCATTGATGAGGTCAGAGTGCTTGTGGGCCAGAGCCTCAGTCACTTCCTGAAGTCTCACCTGTGAACACCACTGCTCTGGGGACCAGACTTTGAGTATAGGAGCTTTGGGGGAACATTTAAGATCCAAACTGTAACACCCATTTTCTCAGTTTTGTTTTTAACTTGTTTATTATTATTATTTTTACTTACTGAAGTAAAAATCTTGTTTTTAAAAGCAGTTTAAATGTGCATACAGTAAAAAACTTCAAGTCTTCATCCCTTTGGCCCCATTCCCCAGGCCTAATTTTTGTTTTTGTTTTTGTTTTTTTATCTTTTTTTTTTTTGGTACGGGGGTATCGAACTTGGGTCCTTGCGCTTGTGCAGCAGGCGATGAAACCACTAAGCTTAATCCCCCGCCCTGTTTTTGTTTTTTGAGATAGGGTCTTGCTGTGCCGTTCCAGCTGGGCTTGAACTCATTATGTAGCCCAGGCTGGGCTTGAACTTGCAGTGATCCTCTTGCCTCAGCCTCCTGAGTGCTGGGATCACAGGCGTGCGCCATCATGCCTGGTCCTAGCCCCAATTTGTAATGGTGATTTCTACATTTGATTAACCTGTGCATTTTTCATAATGTTTACTTAAAATTTTTTTTGAGTATTGATGAATTTTGTACACTAAGGTGAAATTTGTAAAAGGGAGCAATAAGATGAATAGTCATTATACATATGCTTACTTCTGAGACATATCTTCATATTTATCATAATCTTTTTTATATTAAATCAGGACATTTCTTTGCAATTTACTGAAAGTAACCATAAATGGCTTAAATAAAAGGGGAAATCATACTGTATTCCATAAATTAAAAATCTAGGAGCAAGTGTGCTGTCAAGTTGACCCCATCCCGGTGAAGATAGTTTTGTTCTCAGGCCAGCCCTCTCCAGCTGTGATAGAGATGACTTCCTGCAGCTGTGATCTACTACTTTCGCATACTCAGTAGAAAAGAGAACCCAGCTCCAGCAGGGGACCCATGAATACCCCTCATTGCCCTGACACAAACCATCCACTAATGCCCAAACCAGCCTGTGTTCTGCAAGAGGGGTGTGTATTCTTCTAGCCAGACTTAATTCAGAGCTGGAGTCCTAGGTGAAAGCCCTATGAGACTTTCCCGATAAAAATAAATGAAAGGTGAGATGGCAACAGAGTTCAGGCAGGCAAAATCTTAGATCTATCTTCTACATTTTAACTAATTTTTATATTTTTATTGTTGTTGTTGTTATAATGGGAATCAAACTCAAGGCTTTGGCACTGAACTACATACCTAGTCCTTTAAATTTTTTTTTATTTTATTTTTGAGACCAGATCTCAGTTGCCCAGGCTAGGCTTGAACTTGGGATCCTCCTTCTTCAGCCATGCCAGGCTGACAGTATATTTTTTTAAAAGGAAATAATTTGAGTCTAAGGCTCCATCCTTCAAATAGATGATGAGGAAAATGCTATGGTGAAAGGCCTTTTCCAGGTAGGAACACTTGTAGGCTCTTGATTTTGTATTCGCTATACTTATTTTGAGGATACTTCTTCAAATAATGGGGAAGGTGGTTCTTCAGTTTTTCATGTGGTTGTGTCCTGAGTCTTCAGTAACTTTTTTCACAATTTCCAGAGTAGCTATTATTAAAAACTCTTTGAGTGTAATGGAACTGTTCTGCTGATGAATTGGGTGAGTAATGATGGTCTGTTATTACTGTGATGTATCAAAGGTGTAAAAACATAGGCTTTGCTAGGGCAACGCTGTCTTTTCTGTAGTAGCAATCTATTTCTAAAGTAAACTTAACTACCTTAAACTATTGAGTATAACTAAATCATTGACACCTTTTTTTGTGCATGTCCCTATAAAATTAAATATTTTACCCATTTATGCCAAAGGTTGCAATTTTTGAATTTTTGGATGAAATTCCTATATAGAAAATTTCTACCTAGAAAATTCCTACCTAAAAAAAAAAAAGAAAATTCCTACTTAGAAAAATTGAAGGAAAAAGAATTTGAAGAGAAAAATTTTTATTATGTTCCATTGTTATGTGCTATTCCAAAAATGGAATTTTGGGCATAAAAGGATTAAAACATTTCTCTTATTCTGTAAGCAAAATACTAAAAACACCAGTTGCCTTTAAAGCACAATGATAGCTTATATGTTATTAAGGAGTGACACAGGCACTAAAGAGCTTCCCTCTTGCTACTAGGAACTGGGGCGCTGAAGCTGTGGTGTCACAGGGTCATATCACAGATATTCTTCCAAACTCCAGGCAACTGTTTAGCCACAGACTACTTTGGATTAATCTATGTAGTGTGTTTAGAGATTTGAGATTAGTGTCTTGCATTGATTCCATCTTGCCTTTTTGGGCCAGGAATTTAGCTCAATGGTTTCACTGCCTGCTGCGCAAGCACAAGGACCCAAGTTTGATCCTTGGTACCAAAAAAAAAAAAAAAAAGATTTTCCATCTTCCCTTTTTATTTTTTCTGTTTCAACGTCTCTGAATACAGAATGCATCTCAGCAGTGTATAATGTCAGCAGTTGAATGAAAGCTAGTTATTGCCAACATCTAATTGCAGATTTCTTAGTAAGAACTCTAGATTCCTGGTTTCCACTTAAAAATCAGATCATCTGGCAGCATTTGTTCTTGTTCCTGCCTCGACCTTTATTGTGGAACACAGGCTTACCAGTTCCTCATGTTGTGAATAATTAAGTGAACAGGTTTTGGGTTACCAGCTTGGCTCCTTGTAGGTAGGTGTTCAAGGGACTGTTTATTTCTTTCTTATTTTTAGGTTCAAATATAAACACAAACCAATTGCTAAAGTTATTTATCTTTTTTTTTTGGTGGTACTAGAGATTAAAACCCTGATGCACTGAGTTACATCCCTAGCCTTTTTTAAAAATTTTGAGACAGAATCTTGTAAAGTTGCCCAGGTTAGGTTTGAATTTGGAGTCCTCCTGGAGTGCTGGGATTATAGGTGTGTACTACAGTGCCCAGCTTTTTTTTTTTTTTTTTTAATCATTAGTTCCTTTTTCCTTCACTATCAAGTGTCTTCCTACAACTTGCTTAAAAGTTTGTTGTCTGCCTCATTAAGAGCTATGTCTCAATTATAATTAAACATGCATTATATTTAGGTGATAATTAAAATAGTAACTCATTCCAAAGAACGTAATTATGGGAAGTAACACGTTTTAGATATCAGTTATATTTATGTGGGGGGGTTTTGTGTAGATACTCTGTGGTCTTATTATCCTTATAAGTTTGGATTTTATGATGAATTAATTGAAGTATTTTGGTTGGTTTTCTTATTAAATAGAGAAATGATGTAAAGATGTGCTTCTATGAAAAGTAAGATATTGAGAAACTAGGAACCTAGTTTTTTTCTCTGGTCCTTTTATTCAAGGAGTCAGAATTCCTCAAATGAGAATTCAGTTAGTCATTCAAAAAAAAAAAAAACATGGGACTTTCTAGACCCCTTATACTAGAAAAGATTTATTAACCAAGTACACAGAGTATTTTGGTGGCACCAGTCAGCTCTGTTTTTCAAGGACTGTGACTACCTTAGCAAGAAACTCTGTTAAAACAAGGTAAGTAGCCCTAGGAGAAGCCAGCAATTCCATGGGTATACTCAGAACAGGGAGAATTGCTGTTTTCCTGACTTATGGTCATTAATACACAGCCAGTGTGCAAGAGCTAATAGATATGAAGTTCCTTAGAGACAGTGCTGAGAAGGGGGATGTGGAGAGGAAATTGAGTCCAAAAATGAATTTTGCTGGTCTTCCTCTGCAGAAAGCAGAAAATGGAGATTTAAATTGGATTATACCAGACCTATTTCTTGCCTTCTGTGGACCTTATTCAAGATCCAGACTTGAAAGTGGTATGTAAAACTGTGGGACCAGTATAGTTTATTATTGAGAGTACCCATTTTGTGTTTTCTTTCAAGAGAGACCAGAGTTAAAGTAAGTTTGACTTGAATTTTTATTTTTTAAGCATATGTGTTCATTTGTACAATTCTGACCGGATTTTTTTTTTTTTTTTGCTTTTTAGAATTATAGTAAAATTGTTATTCAAACTCCCAGTCCAGATACCACGTCTACCCTATTATAGGTGAAACTCCATTTTTTCTTCCTGCATTTTACAAGATCTGGTGCATTTTTTATGTAGGTTACCACCGACATTCTCCGGAGACTTACATTCCGTATTTTAAGAGTCACAATGTTACAACCATTATTCGTCTCAATAAAAGGATGTATGATGCTAAGCGCTTTACGGACGCTGGTTTCGATCACCATGATCTTTTCTTTGCGGATGGTAGCACCCCAACGGATGCCATCGTCAAAGAGTTCCTGGATATTTGTGAGAACGCTGAGGGTGCCATTGCAGTACATTGTAAAGGTATGTTTCTATAAATGCAATATCTACTAACACAGAATCAAAATGAAATAGAAAATCTGTATAGACCAGTGATGGTGAACCTTTTAGAGCTTTCAGGGATAACAGCCTGCTGTGGTATATATGCCATAGGTTCACCACCACTGGTATAGGCCCTTAAATGGTAAGGAAATTGAATCAGTAATACAAAGTAACATGACAAAGGAAAACTCTGGACTCCAAAGATGATATAAAATGGACAGCTGCAAAGTTATTTGGCTTCAGCAATATTAGGAAAAAGCTAATCACAACTACAGTGAGTACCATTTCATACCCATGACAGGGTGATATGGTGGTGCCTTTTACCAGAACAAAATAAAACAGAAAACAAAACAATGCTGCAAGGATGTCAAGATATTGGAACCCTTGTGTACTGCTGATGGGAATATAAAATGGTGTAGCTACTGTGGAAATTACGTGGCAGGTCCTCTGAAAATTAAAAATTTAATAATCATGTGATCCAGCAGTTTTACTCCTGCCTGTGTACCCCCCCCAAAAAAAAAATTTAGCAGCAACCCAGGTATGATGGTGCATGCCTGTAATCTAAGCACTCCAGAGGCTGAGTCAGGAGGATTGCTGCGAGTTCAAAGGCAGCACCTGGGCTACATAGTAAGTTCAAGACCAGCCTGTGCTACCGAGACCCTAAAAAAAATAAATTAGCAGCAGTGATGTAAATAGATCCTATACACAGAGGTTTAGCTCAGTGGTTCCCGCACCTGCCTCACAATCACAAGGTCTCGAGTTCGATCCCTGGTACCAAAAAAAAAAGTGTAATTTATGCCAGGGATTTAGCTCAGTGGTTCCACCGCCTGCCTCGCAAGCACAAGGTCCCGAGTTTGATCCCTGGTACCAAAAAAACAAACAAAAAAACCAGATCCTATACAATTGAAGTAGCAGTATCCTTTCCAGTAGTCAAAAGCTAGGATGTCCCAGTTCAGGTGTCCATCAGTGGAGGGATAGATATGCAGAATGTGGTACATTTACACAAGGGACTATTATACACCCTAAAAACAATTCTGATCTATTATGTGGAGGAACCTTGAAGACAGTGAAGTTGGCTAGTCAGATGAAGACAGACATTTTATGATTTACTCACATGAGGCACTTCAGTAAGTTCATATTGAGACAAAGTAGAGCTATAGAATGTGAGGGACTAAAAGGGGGTTTAATAGTTAACAAAGTTTTCACTTTGCAAAATGACATAGGTTCTGGAGATTGATGGTAGTGTCTGCATAACATTGTGAATGTACACTGAACTGCACTTGCAAAGATGGTTATGCTTATTCCCAGCTACCAGTTCTGAAGAAAAGCAGGCCATTGAATTACTTATCATAGCATTTAAAACAGCTTTCTTAAAAATGTTCAGTAAGCTAAAAGAATATAGATAACTAGATGAAATCAGAAAAATCAGACATGAAAAAAATGCTAAGTTTTATGTCTTAGTACTGTTTTAAAAAGTAATTCAGACAAAAACAGTATTGACTATTTCTTTTTTTATTATACGAAATTGTTGAGCTTATTCTTAGCAAGGGTACATTTGTGTCCTCCAGGGGGACATTAATGCCTGGAGACTTTTCTTTTTTCCAACAACTTGGCAGGAAATACTACATGGCATCTAGTGGATAGAGATGGGGATTCTGTTCCACAGTGTACAGGATCAGCCACCCCTCAACTCAACAAAAAACTATCCAGCCTGAAACATAAGTACTGTTGAGGTTGAGAAACCTGCAGACTGATGATCAGTTAAAAGAGGATTTGGTAATGATTGGATTTTTTTTGTTGTTTTCAAAAGAAAAGTCATGACTTATGGAAATGGGATTGTGCATTGGAAATTGAAATTCATTACGATGTGTAGTAATAGGATAATAATAGCCTGGGTGTGTTATGTAACTGAATGAGGAGGCTGGCAGTTGAAGGTCAAGGTGTCAGCAAGACTGGTTCCTGGTGTGGCCTCTGTCCTTGACTTGCCCACATGGCTTATTCCCTGTGTGCTCTCTCTTGATGTCTTCTTTTTCTTGCAAGGACAACCAGTCCTATTGGACTAGGGCCCCACTTTATGACCTCATTAAACTTTATTTAATACCTTCAAGGTCATGTTTCCAAACATAGTCACTTTAGGAGTTCAGACATCAACTTGTTGATTAGGGAGAGAGGTACAGTTCAGTACATATTATTCTGTTCCCTGGTCCCTCTAAATCCATGCCCATGGCATAGAAAGTACACTCATCTCATCCCAACAGTTCCAAAAGTCTTAATCCATTTCAGAATCAATTGAACATCAGGTCTAAAGCCTCATCTAAATATCCTTGAAATCAGGTACAAGTGAGAGTTGAAGTGTGATTTATCATGAGGCAAAGCTCCTTCCCATCTGGGAACTCGGGAAACCAGATGAATTATGTGCTTCTGAGATAACAGTGGTAGAATAGGCATAGGATAGACACTCATTCCAGAAGGAAGAGCTCAGAAGAGGTTAAGAGCTCTCCAGAAAGTTGGAAGCTTCACCCAGCAAATAGCAGTAGATCAAGGCTGGAAAGTAGAGTGCTTCCTTGGGATAAGGTTCTAGGTTTGATTCCCAGGGCCTCTAAAACAAAAACAACCCTTAGCCCTTATAAAAGAATCTTCTTTGATTTGATGTTTTTCGTCCCAGTTCTCTTGGGTTGGTAGTCTCCACCCTGAGGCCAAGGACACCCTGGCTGCTGTCACCAGTGGATGACCCACTTGTGAAACCAGCAAGGCCACAGCCTTGTTTTAGGCTTCTGAGCTCTATGGTTTGGTGGCAGTGGCCACCCTTTTGTTCTCTGAATTGCTCTTGAGGTCATAGCACTGTTGTCAGAACTTTGAAAACCTTGCCAAGCATCGTGTTGCATGCTTATAATTACTGTTAATCAGGAGGCTGAGGCAGGAGAATCACAGGTTTGAGGCCAGCTTGGGTGATTTAGTGAGACCCTGACTCAAAATTTATAAAAGGAGTTGGGAGTGTAGCTCGGTGGTAGATCTCTCCCTAGCAGGCATGGGTTCCTGAATTCACTCTTCTGTATTGTAAGAAACAACCCCCCCCCCTTCTTCATTTTATCCCATTTCCCTCTCTTATAGTCCAGATGGCCACTGTATCTCCTGATATCATCCATCTTTATTCTTGGCTTCTGCTAACAGCTGGTTAAATCTGTGGGCATCTCTGTATGAAGCAATTGCCCTGACACACCCTCGATGTTCTTTTTAGAACTTGCCTGCTTTTTTTGTGGTAGGTATAGACTGAGCATTGTCTGAAACTTATTTTTTTTTTTTTGGTACTGAGGATCGAACTCAGGACCTTGCACATTCAAGGCAGGCGGCAGAACCACTGAGCTAAATCCCCGGCCCAATTGTCTGACTCTTTAGTTTCTGGTTCCTTTTTACTTACTAATTCCTTCTTCAGTTCAACTCTGTCCTTTTGCATTTTACTATAATCCACGAGGAGAATCTCAAGGCTTTACTTCTAAACTTTCTTTATAGATCTTTGCTAAATATCCAAGGTGTTATTACTAATTCTGTTTTTGTTGTTGTTGGATTTTGGTACCGGGGATCGAACCCGGGACCTTGAGCTTGCGAGTCAGGTGGCAGAACCACTGAGCTAAATCCCCAGCCCTGTTATTACTAATTCTGCCTTCCATAAAACATTAGAACATAAATCAGCCAATTTCTTTGCCTCGTTATTACAAGAATTGCCTTTCCTCTAGTTTCCAGCAGTGCCTGGTTTCTGTCTACCTGAGATTGTACCAGAATCACCTTTAATACCCACGTGTCTGGCACCAGTCCCTGCAAGGCAGTCTAGACTTCTCCTAATGTACTCAGCAGAGTCCTTCTAGTCTGAATGACTCTAAATTCCAAAGTCATTTCCACATGATCACATATTTGTCACAACAGCACCCTTCCACTGTGCATTGGTAAGCGTCCCGGAGAAAGATAGAACCAGTCAAGTGTTTAATGTACATGTGGAGGAGTGGGGACTCAGTGGTGTGGAGTCTCATGTGCCCCAGTCTGCAGTGTTTGCTGACTGCTGGATGCACAGGAGAGCCTATGGCACAGGCCCTTGGGTTGGGCAGTCTGCAGGAGAAGCCCATCTTGTTCCAGGAGCTGGCCCTGATTGTTTTGTTTGGGTCTTCTTCTGAGTGGATAAAGTCTACTCACATTTTGAAGAATTCACCACTTCAAATGTTCAGAGAATCCGAAGACTTCTTCCAAATTGACACAGCACATAAAATTAAGCCTCACAGGAGGTCATGACAGTGTAGATAGGAGTAAGGAAGGGCCAGGAAGTGGGGAGGAGAGAGAGGGAGATGGAGCATTGAGGGTGTAACTGAGTGATGCAAGGCCCTTTAATCAACCTTGAGAAACACTGTTGATGGAGGCAGAATCTTGGGAAGTCTTTTTAAAAGTTCTTGCCCAGAAAGTTCTGGAGTACATGAGGCCTGGTGTCACTGGTTGGTCTGTTTTCCTAGCTGGCCTTGGTCGGACTGGCACCCTCATTGCCTGCTACATAATGAAGCACTACCGAATGACTGCAGCTGAGACCATCGCATGGGTCAGGATCTGTAGGCCCGGGTCAGTGATTGGGCCTCAGCAGCAGTTTCTAGTCATGTGAGTAGATGGAAGCTTTTGTAATTCCTCAGGGAACATAGTCTGAAGATGGATGGGAAGTAGAATTTGTAACAATAGATAATGTGGTAGCAAAAACGTGTTTTAGTACCTTTCTGGAAAGCTGTATTTTGATATTGTTTAAATGCTCTAGGAAACAAGCTAGCCTCTGGCTGGAAGGTGACTGTTTTCGTCAGAAGTTAAGGGGGCAGGAGAATGGACCACACAGAACTGCCTTCTCCAAACTCCTCTCAGGGGTTGATGACATTTCAATAAATGGAGTCGAAAATGAAGACAAGCAGGAACCTGAACCGGTAATCGAACCACCCGCATCGCGCTGTTGTCTTTGCTTTAAATGCTGTTGAGAACATTGTAGGGCATGGAAAAATGCTAGGTAAAAATAATAAAGCACATTTTGAGGGACTATTGTTACAGTTTTTTAAGTTTATAACCCTCTCTAGCAAGCTTACTTACAAGGGTTAAAACAAAGTTGTATACGTAAAACTAAATGTTTTCCTCCTTAAGCATGGGTGGCAGATAGAAATCTAAAGTGAACTGTTTATTCCTCTGTCCCTATCCCTTTTTCTCATTTTCTAACAGCTGATTTAGAGAACTATTAGTTCTCAAGGCAAGAACTCTTAAAAAATCAAGTCTTTAGAGGTTAGCAGTACTGAAAAAGGTGGGGGTGATAAATGGTTGGTGAAATTTTGAAAGAATGAATATTTCCAAAACTGAGAGTGCATTATTCCACTTTATTATCCTTTTGTTTGATAACGAAAGGGCAGTGGGTTCTGTGCCCTTGAAAATCAGCTTTGGTTGTTTTGAAATGTGACCTGTAGCTTGATTTGGAAAGGTGAAAAGTATTTTAAGAGGTCAGCAGAAACTAAAGCATCTGTATGCATCCTGTGTTAAGAAGTGGAACTCAAATCACTGGCTCAGTGTTTTTTTACTCACGCAGTTCAGTGATGACGACGAAGTCACTGGAGTCACACAAGGTGATAGACTTCGAGCCCTGAAAAGCAGAAGACAATCAAAAACACATGCTATCCCCCTCACGTGAGTCTGGTTTATTTTGTCATTGTTGGTCTTGTTTAATATGGGATCCCTTGCAAGCATTTTTTTTTCTGTGCATTTTTCTCCAGAGCAAGGATTGTGTTCCTTAAAATCTGGAGGTGCTCACCCAGGAAGCTATCAGCCATTCATCTACTTGTGTCCTCTGTTGTAACCTCAGGAGCCATGATAGGCAGGAGAGCAGTGTTAGGACAGTCAGCTCTGACATCCTCAAGAGAGTGACAGCAGACATAGGTCTCAGAATCACAGATTTGTTTGTAGTTGTTCTTTAAACTCACTGCCATCTCACAGGTTGTCTCTGTTGAAATGGTAGTCAGTTGTGACATGGTGGCTTCATGTCATTACATTGTTTTGGGGCAGCAGTAATACAAGACTCTAAACCATATTTTCATATAGTTGTGGAGAAGATTATTTTCAAGTTCTAGAAGAAGGTTTAACACCAGAATAGGAAATTATATAATTACTATTGAGCAGGCTTATGTCCACATGTACTTTCTTTTGAATATTCGTGTGTTAGTTTGGATTTGACCACATGAAATATGCAGGATTGTGAGAGATATGTGGAGAATCAAAACACATTGCTATGGTACTTTTGCCCTAGGTTTTCTTTAGTAGTTACGATTCTGTTGAAAAGAGCTCAGTTCTATGTTTGTTCATAATTCTGCCTCCTGTGATCATCTTAAATAGCCTAGGGTTTTTTCCCTGTGGCTTAGTTTAGTTTTTCTGTGTGTATATATTTATGCATTTTAACTGTGACTGATTTCAGTATCATAAAGTTAACATAGGGCAGGTATCTAACGAAAGATTGAGTCTAAACTTTTGTTCCCAAGTGTCAAGCCTGGTGAAACTGAAGACAACAGTTTTTGTCTACATAAGATGGCAAAACTCCATCCTTGCCCCCCTCCCGGTTGCATCCCAGTTGCTGTTTTGAGCCTTTACGGCGCCTGACACTCCCAGGTGGCTTGACGTATGTATTTATTTGTTATGTTATTTGCTTTGGCTTCCCAATATGAACATCTCTTCTTCCCCTCACCCCTTCCAGATGCCCCCTAGCTGTGCTGGCCTCTGCGCTGGGTAGCGTTGCCATGTGGTGGATTATGTGTGACTACATCCTCCCCATCCTGCTCTTCTGTCTCGATGGTTTCAGAGCACGGTAGCCATCAGGACCCTTGGGCAGATAGCTGCTGTGTAAGTGTCCCATTCCATTTCTCTCCTGACCCTCACTCTGGTGTGTTCGCTGGTTCTCGTGCATGTTCTTTCCTTGTCAGCTCTCCTGGCTTTGTTGGTTCGCCTGTTTTCCAAGGTCCTTTTTCTGAATACTTTTAACATATTTTGAAATAGCCATTTATAAATAAAGACATTGAAGTAGTTTCTCTTTCCTATCAAACATTTTAATTCGTTTGGGATGATGGTTTCCTTTCAGGCAGTCGGCTATTTATATAGCCTTCCTCTAGTTTTCTGTGTCTTGAGTGTGTGTTCTTTCCAATCTAACCAAAACAGAATTTTCTCCCATGGACCTTCTACTTTTAGCAAAGGTTTGGTTTTGCAGCCTTGAGGTCTAGTGAAGATTGTGTCCTGGTTTCTGCCATCTCCTGAGCTATCTCCTAAGTCTTCCATGTTCAATGTGCAGAACTATCTCCTGGTTTTACTTCCTCCCAGGCAGGGAAGTCAGAGTACAGCCTCCATATCTTGGTGTTAAGTGAGAGTGGAAGGCCTAGAGCCTAGCCTGCTTGCTCCTGTTGCTGTTTCTCCTTGATGTCTCTGGGCTCCACATTTTTCCTTTCCCAAAAATATCCAGAACATCTTTATTTGGCTAATGTAGATAAGTTTGTATTCTCTTCCATCATTCATCCTTGAAATGGAGGCCTTAAGAGCGAAGACGTGTTCCTGCAGGAGAATGTGGTGAGCAGCCTTTGTATGGAACGTCAGAGCTACAAGCCACAGAGGGAGAAGGTGCCCCCTGACTGAGCTTTCCCACTGCCTGCTTAGGTCTGGGCTGCATTCTTTATTTTCTGAAACTTTCTTCACTAATCTTTCAAAAATATCTTTTCTTGTCTGAGCTTGAACTTGGAAATTATAAAACAATGCAGAAGTTCCTTCTAGGATCTCTTCCAAAGTAAAATTCCATTCCAACCAACTTTGGTACTTTGTGGTTTCAGTGAGTGTTTTCATATGGCTAACAAAGATTTAGGAAACAATTTCCATTCTTCAAAAGTAAACAAAACCACTTATTTGTGATATTTTCATGAATATTTTAAAACAAACTTAGGTATCCAGATGTGCATATTTTGATATAGTTAATCTCAGGTTTTTTCCCCTTTATTTTCTTAGTAAGCTTCAGGTTCCTCTTATTCTGACTCAAGAGCATCATTCACTACAAAGATTGATTTTTGTTCCCATTTTAGTCCAAGTGGCAAAGATATTCTGGATGGGTGGAGTCACTGCTAATAATACTTATTACTGGGCCTGGGATTTAGCTCAGTAGTTCTGGCACCTGCCTTGCAAGCGCAAGGTCCCAAGTTCAATCCCCCATACCAAAAAATACTTATTACTAATGTTTACTGTTACATTTCAAGACTTAAACAGAATATTGTTTGACTTCTTTATTTTATTATTATTTTTTTGGTTTTTTTGCAGTACTGGGGATTGAACCAAGGGCACATCCCCAGCCCTTTTCTTTTCTTTTCTTTTTTTTGGTACCGGGGATTGAACTCTGGTCCTTGCACTTGCGAAGCAGGTGGCAGAACCACTGAGCTAAATCCCCGGCCCTTATTTTCTATTTTGAGACAAGATCTCACTAACTTGCTCAGGCAGGATTTGAACTTTCCATTCTGCCTGCCTTAGCTTCCCAGCATGCTGGGGTTACACACGTGTACCGCCACTCTTGGGTCTGCCTGCCTTTGGCTTTGGGCTTCCAGCAGTTACAGTGCTGCTGACAGGGTAATCTTTGTAGTCTCTGCCTCTCTTGATAAGGTGGGGTGCTCATGTTCCCTGGTTGTCATTAATCTCTAGGGTCAGGGGAGGGAGCATCACCTGGTTGGGTGGTGCTGTTGAGTGGCCCCGGGTCTGCTTAGCCTCGGGAAAGTTGCCTCTGGAGGCTTCAGGGCCTCAGGCCACCTATGTGAAGGCTCTGTGACAGTGTTACCCACATAGCTAGTGTACAGTTGCTCTGAGGGACTCTTCTTTTGGAACTGGACATTCAAGAGTTACGTAGCTTCTAGGTAAGACTCCTGGCTTTTCAGTTTTTACTTTGTCATGTGCCCTACATTGCAGATGTCACTGTATCCAGAGTATTTCAGCTCCCCAGGGCTGTGGTTGGGGCTAAAGAGAGGAGAAAAACATGTGTCGTGAACATTTTCTGGGAAGGAGCACTGGTGGGCCTGGGAGGTTTGTGCCCAGGTCCTCAGGGGGAAGGACCCCTGCTCTGTTTGGCTGGCAAACTCACCCTTGTCTGCAGTCACTTTCAGGTCGTTATTGGTAATATGTAAGTGTAGTTGCTGGAGGTCTCCCCACTTTGGGCATTAATGGATAACAGATGTGGTACCTGCTCTGTTATTGGTACAAATACAGTACCTGAGTCTTCCCAGGTGCAGCTGATGCAGCCTGAATTTCTGTCATTCCTTTAGTTTCAAAGTTCCATAGAAATTACTAGCTACTATTATCAAATTATTTCACCTCAGTTTATGCTTTATTTTATAGAGAAGTAAAAAATGGAGTGGTGATTTCTTGTTCTGAATAGTATGTAAACTTTTCAGTAATAATTTGAGAAATCAGGACCCGGATTTCCTACACAGGCAGTGTATAGGTTTTGTTTTTTCCTCATATTAATGATTTTATAGTGTGGATATTGTTTATGCTTTAGGCCATCAGTGACCTCCAGTTATTTGAAAAGCAGTATTTTTAAAAAGCCAGCGAAGTCTTATCTTCTCTATTTGTAAGGAGCATCTGAGGTAGCACTGGACTTCAAAGCATCAGCAATTTTTTTGTTGTTATTTTTCTTTATGCAAAATTCTAGATTCATTTCCTTAATACAGGTGAAAAGATATTTCCTCCTCACTTTATGTAATGGGAAAGAATTTTTTGCAGTTGGATAGGAGGAACAACTTTTAATGCTCTTTAGCTTAGTGTAGTGTGTAACTGTGGTTGACAATTGAGTATTTCAGATCAGCTAGGAGAGAGAATTTGAATGTTCCCAGATCACAAAAAAATGATAAATATGCCATTACTCTAATCTGATTGTTACCTGTTGTGTGCATTTATGGAAATGTCTCCTTATACCCCATAAATCTGTGCAATTATGTGTCTATTGTTTTTTAAGTCATTTTTTAGAAAGAACTTTTCAGTAATAAATCCTTGTTCTAAGAAGCAGAATTCATAAGCCAGAGCATCAGTCCCTGGAACCCTACAACTATGCCTGCATCTCCTCTTTCTGGTTAGGGTTTCAGTGAACAGACTGTGAGAAACACCAGCTCAGGCACTGGCTAATTGATCCAGGATTAGATTGTGTCCAAGAGGTCCAGGGCTGGTTTCCCAAGCCTTCAAAATCTTGCAGTAGCTGGTAGGCACCCCATGTCCCCAACTGATCCCCCAGACAGTCTGAAGCCACTGAGTGATGTGCTTTGGTTTGAGCAATGCTACAATGCCAGGACTTTAGGAACCTTTACCACATAAAAAACCTGGCGTTGGTCCTTAACCATTTCGCTGGTGACACACCCCTGTGACTCAGGATCCACATTAGTTTGGCTGCTTTCTATTTTATTCTTAGCCAGCCAAGATCTTACAGGCTGTTAATGGGCATCTCGCCCTTAGGTTGGAATACAAGAGCAGAAAGTATTTTTTAGTCAGTATTTTCTCTTCCAGATAAGTAAATGTTGACACAAATAAATGAGTGCATATGCAGCTCAGCTTTTCAGTGATTGAAGACTGTTATTATCAAATTTTTTGATGTGTTCTGCTGTTCTCCTATGATAGTTTAATGAAGCAAAAGCAAACACCCTCCACTTACGAACAGGGCATTCTCTGTGGTCTTCCTGACTCATGGATTGGCCTCCTAGGCAAACTGCTGTTACAGGAAGACTTTGAGTTTAAGGCAAATTTCACAACATGTAAGTGATCTCACTTCTTTTTTAATGGTACTTAAACATTTAATAAGTAGTCACAATCCAGGAAAAACATGATTTTGCTTGAACATGTTTTAAAAATTTGAATTGTTGTATAAAGTTATCATTGACATAATGTTTATTACATAGATATTCAGCTCTGACCAGTGAAGGTTGTGTAGCTAGTTCCTAAATTTGTATGCATATGCTCTAGAATTTTTGGCTTACAACTTGATTGTATGACTAGAAATCTAAATCTCCTTTTTCAGATTTGTTTGGCTGATGGATTTCTTTGGTGTGGGAATTGCTTATAATGTCAAGTTACTTCTTTTCCAAAAGTAAAGCACCCTGGTTATCTTTGTGTAACCCTCGGTGGGAAATGAGATGCTTCGTTTCAAAGAGTCTTGGCCTAAAACAATGTGTTTGATTTTTTTTTTTTTCCGGCAAATGTGTTTACGGAAAGTCCTGTCAATTCACAGTAAAACAATTTGCACTGAAGTGCAAAAATCCCTTCCTCTGTCAAGTATTTGAAAGTTATTTCAGTGCATATAATCTTATTTTTTTCCAACTATTTTCAGAGTAATTCTTCAGTCCAGTGTTCAGAGCTGTAAAACATCTGAACCTAACATTTCTGGCAGTGCAGGCATTACTAAAAGAACCACCAGATCTGCTTCGAGGAAAAGCAGTTTTAAAAGGTGAGAAAAGAATCCTGTTCTGAAAAATTCCAAGCATTGGTTTCTAGCTTAACCTTTTGGACTCCACTTCTGGAGACTCAAAAGAAGATAGGAGAAAGGAGCAACCCTGCGATGGGAAATAATCAGATGTGTTTTATGTGTTCATCATCTATGAAAATCTGGACCCCTTCAACGTAGGATTTTGTTTTCTTTTGTTGTTTAGAGGAAATTTTTAACACTGTAGTCTCTGGATCATGATATGGAAAAGCTTAGAATGTTCTTGTAACTTTAAGAATTTCCAAAGTTTTCTATCAGGGCTTGGAGAAGCACTTCTGTCTATGTACGGGATACAGTGTCATTGTGCAGTTAGCTGCATATTAAGTGTGATGTTACACATTAAGTATGATGTGGAAACGCACTAAGGCCCCTTTTGGGATCCCTCTTGACCTAGTGCCTCCTTGTCATCTTGACCAAAGCCCTCACCCGAGGTCCCATGTGTCTTCTACTTCTGTCCTGGCGTGTCTCACATCCTCTGCTAAGTACAGGCTCTGACAAGAAGATGGGCCCGTCCTGAGACCAGGCCAGTAGCTTGCTGTCTCTGGGCATTTGTCATGAACTGAGGGCAGACACTTGATTTTTAAAATATTCCCCAAACAGTTCCCTTGTGAGGCAAGGGTAGGTCATACAGTTCCTGGTGTCACAGGCGTGGAGGGTGCATGCAATTTAATCCAGTGGTGATTTTGTGCTTGCGGCAAACAGAGCTCTTATAATAGTCTATATGCAGCCCACAGGTAATCAGAACCAGACTTTATAGTGTCCTCAACTGTCCTCCTAGCTTCTTTTCTACTTCCATGCATGCTTGAGGCTTTGGGCCCATGTGCTTTATCCCAGTGCTGAGTTAGTCCCCGTCATGTCCCACAGCAGCTGATGCTTGGCATTCTGGGGATTCACCTCTGTCCTTCTTCACTGCTGAGTTTTCTGTGAAATTTTACTGCATAGCTGGACTCACATGAGAAGAGGACATACCTACCCTGAGTATTTGAGAATTGTTGGGTTCTGACTCAGGATTTTAGGATCTTACATTTTTTATTAGGAATATATCAAATGTCCATACTTGTTTTACTGTCTGATTCCACTTGACAAGAAAATTAGAGTGATACTAACAAGAGGCCAAAGATTTATAGGTGCACTGAGATTAATATCAGTGTTGTGACAGTAAGAAATAGGAAATGGACCGGAGAGTGTTTGAGGAACCGTGGTTTTATTTACTTTTATTTTTGGTGATGCTGGTTATGCAGCCCAGGACCTTGTACACAGGAGGAAAACATGTACCACAGAGCCACCCCCAGCCTGAGTCAGGTTTTTAAAAAAAGTGTCATGACCTGGATAAAGTTTCCTTGAAAAATAAGTGAAAAGAGCTAGCTACACATTGAAATTCTGAGGTGTATTACCTTAATTTTGTAACTGATTCACACTATATAGAGGGAAGTGTAGAGCAATATAAAATGTTTACAGATATGCAAATTTCTATATGTAGAGAAATAAGACAAAGGAAAAAATATCACATACTACTAACATTCTTCTGGTTGGTAGGATAGTTGGGATTTTTTTGTGGAGGGCACTTTTATTTTCCAACTCTTCTACAGTAAAGGGTAGAAAATGGAGTATTTAGGGCCGAGGATTTAGCTCAGTGGTACCACTGCCTGCCTCACAAGTGCAAGGTCCTGAGTTCAATCCCCAGTACCAAAAGAAAATGGAGTATTTTAACTCTGACACTTTTAGGTGATCAAACTGTCAAAAGTTAAAAAGCTTGCTGTTGGTTGTACATTTCGACATGCTTCGAGTGGACTTGCTCTTTCTAGGTGTAAGGACTCAGGCCTCCATTACAGCTCGCAGGCTTGCAACTTAATCTGCTTTTTTCTCTTGGATCGGACTTTTGTAGGTTATAGAGGAGTAGAGTCCAAGAGCTCAGAACAAGCTGGCCAAGTCCCACTTTGTTCCAATGAGGAAGCTGGCTTTGCCCCAGTCTTTCTGTCTAGGTCTGCTTTCTGTGTCATTTTGAGTGACCCTCCACTGTGCTTTTTGGAGTGTGGTTCCTGATTGCAGTGAGCGTCTGCCTCAGATCCTCCCCAGGATGCTTTTTAAGGGCTCTAAAGTAGGTTTTAGGTGGCATAAGATGGGCTAAATGGTGAATTGGCCCCCAAAACAGTTTCCAGGAATTTAGGACAGTGCCAAAAAACAAAACTCCTTTTCCTGCTCATAAGTATATGTCTGTAGGTTCTTTAGAGAGGCAAAGAAGGGAGAGCTCTTTGGGTTTCACAGTTCACTTAGCACCTTCCTCTGTGCAGGTTTTTGGGGTGATTTGGTGTGTTACCCATGTACTGCGGCTTATAAAAGAAAGGCAGACAGATTATGTGCAGTATCCCACCACCTGCTTCTTCAAAAGAACAAGAACCGGAGGCAGCCAAGCTGTGTAGCCTCCAGTGTTGGTTCCACCAGTTACTACGCAGTTTTGTTTGGAAGGTAATGAAGGAATTAACATATTAGTGCATAATCAGATTCAGAGAAAGATAGTATGAGCTAAGATTCTTATGTAATTCTAAGTTTCTAAATTGATATCTTTTCTTTAAACAGCACTCCCCCACCTCCAAGGCCTCCCTCTGTGTGTACCTGGATGGGAGCCTTCTGGGAGCCAGGTCCGGGGCTGTGGGTGACCCGGCCTCACAGGGAGGGGAGGCCTCTGTTTCAGGTCAAGTCACAGACACATCACCACTTGGTGTGGAGGAGCCTGGCTGTCTGCTCTCGGCCTCATCTGTTCTCCAAGGCTTCAGGAATGAAGACCAGAGCCCCCCTGCTGTTTGATCTTGATAGTTTATTGAGAGACTCTTTAGCTTTAGAGAACCCCCACACCCCAACCTGTTAAAAGAGCAGTTATTGGCGGGGTAGAGTATTGTGCCCCAAACATTTGTTGTTAGGAAAGAAATACCAACATATTTCTCAAGGCCAGTGTCCTCTGGATCTAAGCTACATCTGAACGTGTGCAGGCTGTGGTCTGGGTGACCAGGTGACTGAGTCCTTAGTGCTGATGAGGGGTGGGACCACCTTCTTCCCTTTCTCAAGTCCACGGGGGAAATTCATGGGCTTCTGTACCTCCCACCTCCTGTTAGAGTCTAAGACCATTGTAACCTTTCTCTTTTAAGAATTAATGAATCCATTGACTAAGCGGCTGAGTGAGATGGGCTGGTCATTGTTCTTGCATTTGGGTGTGTGGAGAGCTCTCCCAGGATGGGCCCTGACTGTGTCACAAGCCTTACAACTGCCCACCTGCCACAGTCACGTCATACATCCCCAGTGTTCCCTATAAGTGCATGTTAAGTGCATGTTTCCGGAAACTTCTGCTGTTTCTTTGGGGGCAGTCTTGTCTTCTTTTTCAATCATTTCATCCTGTTTTCTAATTTGTGTGAGTTTTTAATTTCAAGCTACATCTTTGGGAACCATCACTCTGCTCAGCTGCCAAACCAACCTCCTATCCATGGCTTTGGGGTGTTTAGTACCCAGTTATTCATATTGTGCGGGGAGAGATGCTCAGGTTCTTTATTTTGCCTCTCAAACCTCACATAAACCCTTTAGCTAGGAGGAGCTATACTTACTACTTTGATTTTTTTACATCCCTTCTGCAAAGGTCATGGCCATCACACCTGTTCCTGCATCTTATTCTTAGAGTCGCAGATCTTGATCCCTGCTCTTGCCACTTGTGGGTCTTGTGTTTTGTTACTGCTGTTGTCTCCAGAAGTACATCAGTGAAGGAGTCTCAGCATGTTCTCTGTCAGTATTCTTTTTTAAAATGGTGATTCCCTCTGATCTTTTAAAATATTAATTCATGTCCCTTTGAAATTCTAGGTATTTTCCCACTTGCCTCTGCCGGCTGACCTGACTGTTTTAAACTCAGTACTCTTTTGGGTCTCTGCTCAAGGCAAACAAGCCTCCTCCATCAAGCAGGCGCATCCTCTCACCTCCAGAACCGAAGTGGTTTTCCTGACTCTTGGTTCCGCTTTTGTTTTCCTCTGAAGGTTGCTTTTGAGTTGAAAGTGTCAAGGGCCACATTGGAGAAGGAAGGGAGGGTGAGAAGCAGGGTCCTTGGCGTCTCTGTCTGTGTCCCCCAGGCACAGTCCCCTCGGAGACATGCTACACCTGCCGAGGAAGGGGACGGGACCTGGCAGAGCTGGAAACTGCTCAAGTTGCTTGAGCTTTTTCTGTGACCAAAGCCTGGCTTTTGAAACCATCTGGTAATCCTTCTTACCTTCTCGTTGTTTCCACTTTCCCACAGCCTGGTTCCTCAGAGGGAAAGAAGGAAAAGGAGTGCTTTGCAGCAGATGCCCTTGGTGGCATTATGGTACTCACCTTGCTCTGCTGCCCTTGCCCGCCTGTCTTTGTTTATTTTTATTTCTTTCTTTTCTACTTCTTTTTTTCTTTTTTAATTTTATTTTTACAGAACTGAACCTTTTTCTACTCTGCCTTTTTCTCCTGTTCATCTTTACTTTATGGGTGATATTATACTGTCTTCTCCAAAGTTTTGTCATTAAAAAAATTATACAGCCGGGCATGGTGGTGCATGCCTGTAATCCCAGCACTTGGGAGGCTGAGGCAGGAGGATTGCCGTGAGTTCGAGGCCAGCCTGGGCTACATAGTGAGTTCAAGGTCAGCCTGAACTACATAGTGAGACCCTGTTTCAAAAAAAAAAAAAATTATACAAAATATTACTCTTTAGCATGTCAATATTTTTATTATGTTGCCTTCCTTGTCTGTGATAACTATCTCAGGGACACTTTCAAACCTTCATGGTAAAATCCTTTTCTTTTCTTTCTCTTCAGTCCCTCCATTTCAAGGACCAAAACAGTTTTGCGTTAAGTAAAAACTCGTGACCACAACTGAAGAAAGATTCTAGGAACAGAAAACTCTAACAGGACTTAGGAGTTTATTTGAGAACAAAACAAACTGCAGAAGCCTTAGTTGCTTCCACCTAAGAAATTTACTCACTGAAGAAAACGTCTGCTGGAGTCGCAGTAGCGCTCGGAGTTTGGGTGTGAAAGAAGACTTGAAGGGCCCAACTTGCCATTTTTGCAGAATCGTCTCAAGCCAAATGAGGAAATGGTGTTGTAATTTAGTCTCAGGTGTAAGTGCTGCAGCCCCCTGCCATCTGGAGAGCTGATGAGTTCAGTGGCCCATGTGTCCCCACGGTGGCGGTTGTGCTCTCTGCTGGCATTCAGAAGAGCCGAGGATCTGATGGAGGTTTCGTACGTATTTATTTTCTATTCGCTCTGTGACCCTCTGTGGAAATTTGTAAAGATAAACCAGGATTTACTGAAATGGTACTTCCTGTCATCGGACACTATTGGGTTTCATCTCTTTGCTCTTTGTGATACTGTTGTCACGTTTACTCTGTGAAGTACCCAAGCTGCTTGTCTTCCACCAAAGAGTGCTTTATGAACATGAATCTGTGAAGACCATGTGAAAACACTGTTGCATGCTGTAATGCCAAATGGTACTGTGCTCACCTAAGACTTGTCAGACAATATTCATAGAAGCTTTAGAAGACTTCAGGGGAGAAACTGGTCTCAGAGTTGGAAGATTCTTGCCAAGTCCTTCCTTTCTCATCACTTAGGAACTACAAAATAGCAAGGCTGTGCATTACTGGGTTGCCAGTCACACAAAGTCTAGTCAGATTGCCTGCTATGCATATAGGGGGAGCTGCCCACTGTTGGTTTTTACCCTTTGAAACAGCAATCCCAAATAATGGTGGCTTTAAAAACAAAAATGTTAACACTTGTTTTAGAATCCTTTTCTCTAAACACTGTGGATTTTTTTTTTCTTTTGTGATCAGTCTAGGGCCATTCATATACTCTGATTTCACCGACGATTACTTGCTTTTGGATTTTGGTTTGTAGTAAGAGTGAACTCACTGTTGCCTTTGGTTAGGGAATCCAACTAGTAACTCTTTGCAGCGTGCCTTCTCCCCTTCCCCTTCCTGAAACTCAGCAGGGCTGTGACATAAGCAATCACAAAACAGTTTATCTGCTGCTAAAAACAAAAACCAGGGCCCATAGTTAAAGACTGTTTTGCAGATCCCTTGTTCCTGCCATCCAGGGCTTTCCTAGGAAGCCATGTCCTGTTTACCAGGTCTGGCCTGTGCTTGTCTGGGAACTGGAGTGTGCCAGAGGGTAGGGCCTTCCCATGACCAGATGAATGTATCAAGACCCTGCTGACCAGGCTTCTTGCATTTGGAGCAAAGTAAAGTCTGTTTACCCAAAAAGGAACTGGAAGACAGTGGTTCTCTGTTTCAGTGTTATACCCTTTGGGTGAAGTGTGTCAGTGACTGGCTTGGAGAAGGGCAGCTCTGCCCAGCAGGCCATGTGAGTCACCCTGAACCAGCATTTAAACATTAGGGGCTGAATGTAGGTGTAAGAGTTGGGTAGGAGGAGGAACATACCACTGTGCCGGGAGACAAAATGTTCACACTGTGCCCAAGCATAAAATCCTGATTCTTAGGGCATCCTTTAGAGGCCCGCTGCTCCATAGCTTATGCAGGTGGGTGTGAAGACCACACTGCCTTCTGAGCCGTGTGTGGCTTGGCTTTCTCTTAGGTTGGAGCTAGGAAGCACATCCCTGTTGTGGCCCCCTTCCCGGTCTGACCTATCCCAGTGAGTGGGCTGTGTGGGGTCTTGGCCAAGAGTAAAATCTTTGGCCCTTAGTGATAACCACTGTGCTTTTTTTTTGTTTTATAGATTGCCTTGTGTTGGCTGCTGAAGTTTCCAGCTAGAATTGTTGTTATCACTGTGGCTCTTGTTAAATATCCCTGTATCTAACAAGCTCGCGCAAGTTAGTCATAGGAAACTTGTAATTTGGTGAAGACCATTCCATTCCTTGGAGTAGGCAGATAGTCAGGGACAGCACTTCGGATGGGTTTCGGGGGTCTGACTAATGGAAAGTCCTTCGTACTATGAGTAAGAGCAGACTCCCCACCAGCTGAAACCACAGAACACTCCACGTCCTCTAGGAGTCTGACTCAGTTCTTGTTACACATGACCCTGTTGCTGTTGGATCTGAAACAGTGCCTGTCAGATGGAGAGGTTCCTTTAACTTAAGACCTTAAATAGTATCGAAAGTCCACCCAAACCACTTCCAGTGGAATTAAAATTAGAAATGAATATTTATAGGGGCCGGGGATTTAGTTCAGTTATTCAGATGATCCCCGATTCAAAAAAAAAAGGAAATGAATATTTATAGGTGCCCTTGAAACTTTCTGGGGATTCAGATCATCAAGAGACAGAAAGTCCAAGGGAGGTGTGTGCACCTGTGAAGTGGGGTTCCTGGAAGTACAGAGGGTCCTCTGTCACATGACAAACAGCAGGGAAGAGCAATGGCAGGGAGCGAGCAGTGCCTCCTCCAGAGGTGACCTTACTCGGCCAGTGTGGCTGGACCCCAGCCACACGTGGCTCTGCCTATGTCCCAGTTTTCCAGGTGTAAACTCGATGCCCTGAAGCCAGCTCTCCTGCTCCATACCCCACCAGGGAGTGGTGTCTGCTTTTGGCTTGGGCCCAAATGCGTCTTAGCAGTGTCCCCAACTGTTCTCTAGAGGCCATTGTGTTTGACTGGGTCTCCGGTTGTCTCGAGCCAGCTATCCTGGGGCCACCCCTTCGTTTGAATTGCCAAGCTTGACAAATAACCAGTGCAGCCATTGGGTGTTTGTTCTAAGGGTAGCTCGGCTGCCCTTCATAATATTTTTAAAAGTTCTTACTGCACTCTGGAAAGGAGTGCTCATCAGAAACAATCTTAATCCGTCTTTTATTTCTTGAATAGTTCTCTTCCACTGAAATGCCCTGGTGAGGTTAGTTGCTGCTCTTCCTTCTCTCCTCAATCTGAGTATTTTCCATGTTGCTAAGTGAAAATACTATAGATGTGTTTAAAAGACTGGATGATTTGCCTATACTGTGTGGGAAATTACCTCCTTAATTACCCAGTGGAACTGTCAGCAGACTTGTTCATTGGATTAGAGTACTGCAGTTTTAGATTAATAATTTGCAGACTTTTATCTAATGTGCACTCATGTACAGATTATTAAAAGTTTAAAAATAACTGAGTAATCAGTATTTGATCAGTTATTGTATTGATTTTTTTATTAAAATGTATATTTCTAATCATATTTTTTAAAGCTGAGAGAACTGGTTGAATGTTTATTTTCATGAAAGTATTTTTAAGATAAAGCTTCATAATGGCCTGTAAACTTTGCATATATATGTAGTTTGATACATATTGTTGCATTTGAAAATCTTGTGTATTATAACTGGTTTTATACAAAACACTGAATAGTGGCAGTTGTGTAATTACAATTGTAATTAAAAGTATTAACTAAGCAGTCTTCGGTTTATTGTCTTCACTTACTGAGTATGCTGAGTTATGGTAGGCAGCGGTGAAATATAAAGCGGATGATTAATTCTTTTATTTTTTTTGTACCAGGGATTGAACTCAAGACCTTGCACTTGCAAAGTAGGCACAGTGCCACTGAGCTAAATCCCCAGCCTAATTCTTTTTTTTTTTTTTGGTACCGGGGATTGAACTCGGGGGTCCTTGCGCTTGTGCAGCAGGCGGAGAAACCACTGAGCTAAATCCCCGGCCCCCCAGCCTAATTCTTGATTAATATTCAAGGGCACCCATGGTGAGAGACCAGTCTGGGTGACTTAAACAGCAGTTTATTTCCTCTCAATTCTGGAAGACCCAACTTCAAGGTGTTTGCAGGGTAGGCTGCAGGTAGTCACCTTCCTCTGCGCCACCACATGGCCCTTGCTCTTCACCCACCCACCCCTAGTGTTGCTCTGTGTCCTCGTCTCATAAGGACAGTGTAGTAGGATTGGATTGGCACCCACCCTCATAGCCCCATTTTACCATCACCACTCTTTAAAGGCCCCAACTCCAGTTCCAGTCCAGTCTGAAGCACAGGACTTAGGGCTTTGGCATTTGAATTGGGCAGGGGGACACGGGAACAAGATAATTTTGTATCAACCCAAATTCTTTGTCTCCCAAACTGAAGAATAAATTTGAAGACAAAAGGAAAAATGTAGGAGAATGTTTATTAGAAATGATAATGCCGGGGGGGGGGGGCAACACCAAGCTGGGTGTGGTGGCACACACCTGTAATTCCAGCTCTCAGGAGACTGAGGCAGGAGGATCTCTGCAAGTTCAAGGCCAGCCTGGACTATATAGCAAGATCCTCTCTCAAAAAAAGGGTCGGGGATTTAGCTCAGTGGTTCTGGTGCCTGCCTCGCAAGCGAAAGGTCCCAAGTTCAATCCCCAGTACCAGAAGAAAAAAACTTTGTAGGTATCTAAGTGGGGGGAAAAAGTCTGATGGACCTTCTTTGTTTTTGGCCTTATATATGGGGATTTGTTTTAAACAGGTAGCTTTGTAGGGTTTAAAGGAAATTAGTTATTTAGCTGGTTCATAGGAAACGAGCTCAAAGGAAACTGGTTACTCTGTATTCTGCATTTTTAAATTTTTCTAAGTCCAGCTGAGAGATTAGGGAGGGGCAGACAACTAAGTTAATGTATCTTCATAGAAGGAAAGGTCTTTATCTCCCTTCTTACCTAGCTTTTATCCTTCTGCTTATGTTTCCTTTTGCATCTGTAAGCTTGGCTTAGCTGCTTCAATTAGCTAACTAGGGTGGGCTGTTTCATTTTATCTGACCCTATCACTAGGCAGCTCTGACTGCATACTTAGAATACTAAACTACAGCTCCACACCCAGCACCAGCAGACTATGTAAAGGCTCCAGAATGTTCCAGAACATCACGCCATGGGGACCTGCAGGTCCTAGACTGTGGCACTCAACTTAGCTGCCAAGGCCGAGCAGGGCTGGGACTAGTGCTCTACACATGGGCCTTCTCACGCAAGCAGTTGGATCCCAACTTCCACGCTGGTCTCCGAGGCCTCTCCTGGTCTCTGGCTGGGTAGGATCTGTGGACCTCACAGAGTCTGGGTCTAGGAATTTGACCTTCTGAATTCTGTCCAGTTCTCCCAAGAAGCTGGGCCCAGCTTCACAGCAGGATAGAAAATTTCAAAGTCTAACCCTGCCTTGCCACCCCTCTCCAGACTTCTCTGATTCCCTTGCTGCTGGGGAGAGCTGCCTGTCCCCTGACCTCTGCAGGGTGTCTGAGGCCCAGGTGCTTGACAAGGGCCCAGCCACTCAGTAAAGTCTAGAGTTCTGTGGAGGGCCAGCTTGGCCTGTGGTGTCTCAGCTGTGCAGTATCTGGGCCTATGGATTCCTGCTGTCATCCTGTGTGGAGCCACACTCCCTTTCTCGTCTATTAAGTGGGCAGTCTGCTAAGCCCCTCTGCTTCAGTTTGAGGAAAATGGAGACAAAAAGAATCCCCACTTTAGCAGTTAGTTTGAAAATTAATGAGCTCATGCATGCATAGTGCTTAAAACAGCACTTTGGGCACATAGCCATCAATAAATTTACATTTTAGGTAATTATCTCTAGACAATTAGATCAAGACTTATTTTAATAGCAGATGATGGCTGCTCAGGATCTGATATTTTTTGGTACATAATTCCATGCACCTGTAATGTTAGGAGGCTTTAAAAAGACATGGAATAAATTACTCTGAAAAGCCTCTTGTGAGTGACTGTTGAGAGGCGAGTTGGGGGTTCATGGATGTCAGAGGCCCCTTCTTGAGGCCCCCGCTGGTGATTGAGATGATTGGAAAGAGCAAGTCCCAGAGATGTGCCTCTTAACCCTGGCCTGGGGTCTTTTGTTTGCCTCTGAGCTCACTGTGTTCACCTGAGGAAGACGACGAGTGAGTGTGGAGTGTTTGGATTGCACCAAGTACCTGGCTGGCCTTGCATGGGCTCTGATGCTTCTGAGGAGGAGCACCCCAACTCCATTCTGTCTCCCTCCTCTTGTGCATGTGAGTGCAGTGGTGCATGCCTTGCTACAGCGTTGGAAGGAATTCTCTGAAAATACCATTTTTCCTACCTCTATAGCATCCCATGACTTGGAATCTTCTGCCCATGCCAGGCTGTGCAGGTCATCACCTGTTTCCCAGGTATAGTGCTGGGTGAACATTCTCCTTTGAAAATTTTTCCTGGGCAGTGCTGGTTAATTCCTTAGGAAAAACTGACAAACAGCATTTCTGGGTCAAAGATAACACAAAATTTGAAGTTGATGTAGTTATTCAGAGCATGGCTTCTGAGCTCAGATTGGGTACAAACCTTGGCTCTTCCCATGCAGTTGTGTGATTTGGGCCAAGTTATTTGGTCTTTCCAGACCAAGCTGGCACTGTCACCCTTGCAGAGTTGTTTGTGGGTTAAATGCACTAATACTCGCTAACCACTTTGGAATGCGTGCCTGGTATGTACCAAGAGCCATATGTGTTATTACATTTGGTAAAAATTAAAGTACAGCCATGCTCCATTCAAGAAAAATGATGCAGTCCCCATGCTCCTTCCTTTTCTCCATTGGCAGTTGTGGTGACACTGGTGAGCAGGTTATGAATTAATAGCAGGACACGCCCCAGGATCAAGGTCAGGGGTTACATTGGGAACATTTTGTCTCCAAACACAGAATAACCCTATGGTATAGTCTCAGCGATTCTGTCTGTTAGAGAAAATGGACCCTTCTGGGTGGCTCCTTCAGACTCCTCCCTGGCTTGATCCCTGGGGCCTTGGTCCGTGTAGGGATGCAGGCCCTTCTGTGCCTCCTCAGTGCACTTGGCTTCCTTGCCTTCCCTCTGTGTTGTCTCTTTGCCAGCAAGTCTCCACGATTTTGACCTGCTCCTGGATGATGTGTTCCTGGACTGCTCTCAAGTCCCCAGGTAAGGTGGTGCCCAGACCCAGCATCACCTACACCAAGGCCTGTGTCGGCCCCTCCCATTCTCCCAGTGGCCAGAGAGCATGTTTTTAAGCAGGTGGGACAAGGGACTCTGGAGGAGGCAGTGTGGTTCCAGTGTTGATTTTCTTGGAGAGAGGCAAGGGCTGCCCACGTCGTGGGCTTGTATCTCTGTGAAACAAGGCTTCCTTAATTCTCCCTCTCCAGAGAACGCTGCATGTCTGGCGCCTACACCTGCCCAGCAAATAGTCTGCGTCCTCCCCCCACCCCTAATCCCATGTTTTCAGCCAGCTTCAGGGAGCCTCACTGCCCCTGCTTAGCAACACCTGACAAGATGCCATGGAAGCACCTGGCGCTCTGGAGACCCTGTATAGTGAAGGAGTGCTCTGCCTTGTGCTGTGCCCTGAGCCAGGGATGAAAGGACAGTTTCACTGGTGGAGGCTGCAGCAGTGGGGAGCAGGGCTTGCGGGCATGCAGGAGCACTTAGGGCACCAGGGGTGGCTGAGCTGACACCTTGCTGCTGGCCAGGGAATCCCCACATGCAGCAGCCTGAGGGGAGACCTTGCCCAGTGTCACCCTCCCTGGGAGGGGGATCTGCTGTGACCCAGCTGGAGAATACTGGGGTACCCTAAGCAGGCTCGGGAGTAACATGTCCTTTAGTAGCAGCAAGTGGCTGCCTAAGCCTACTCTTCCTCCCAGAGCCATGGTGGATGTGGTGACATGCCCTGACCATCCCCTTCTTTTTGCAGTGATGGTTGGTTGTCTCTGACTGTAACCTTCCTAGACCGGCTTTTCACCTGGCTCGGGATTCGCAGCAACTAAAGCAACCCTCCTGACAGCCACACAGCACTGTCCTGCCTGCTCTCTCTCCTCCAGTAGTCAGAGCCCCTTGGAGAATCAGTTTCTGCCTCATTCTTCACTGGTCTTGGGATTTCAGCCCAGGGCGTTCCTAGCTAGTGAGCGACCAGGTTGGAAGAGCCCCAGATTGGTAGGGCTTAAAGTTAACTGAGGACCTGAGGCCCCCCAACTCTGAAGAAAAGTTTGTGCCCCATTTCTTATTTCCTTTTCCTTCCCTTCACTCACCCAGCATCAATTTGCACTCCTGAATTTAGGACTTGCTGCAGATACCTAAGCGCTTACCTCACTGTTGCTCTAAGGCAAAGCCAACAGCTAGTGTGAGTGGGCCAGGTACAGTTGCGTAGGTTGTTCAAAGTGGATGTGATTATCAAGGCCCTGAGGTTGCAGGGCCTCCGTACTTGAGCCTCCTGGGGTTGCACATTGCCTCCGTACTTGAGCACTCAGCAGCACTGGTGGGTTTATGTGCAATCTGATGTCCCTCCTTTCTCACGTGACAGAAACCCCACCTTAGATGGCTTTGCACTCCCACAGTTATACAGTTGCCCTCTGGAGCTGGGCACATCCTTGCAAAGAAACCACACTCAGGAGCCAGTGATTTCTCTGCTCACCTGCTCTGTTCCTCTGCTCGTGGAGCAGGGAGGTATGAGAGCCTTGCGTGGCAAGGGAATGTTCTTGTCATCTTCGGCCCAGAAGCCTTGTGGCCCAGGCAGAGGGTTTCCTGGAGCAGTGGGAGATGGGCAGGAGCCACTGTCACCCCCAGGCTTGGGGAACAGAGCCACCAGCCTTGCCTCTGGCCCCAAGCCTCCACCTGCAGCTCCCAGGGCGTCCTCTGGTTCCCGTTTGCCATAACAGTGGCAGAGTGGCCTGCTGTGTACCAAGGAAGCATTCAGCTGCCTACAGTGGCTGAAACAAGCACTTCACACTCCCTTAGGTGGCCCCTCTGTCCCTTGCCAAAGTGCACATGGCCCTTTGCCTAACAAGACTGCAGGGAGGGAGCCTCGTTTCTGCTGCCTCCACTGCCTCCTGTCACTGCGTCGACTGAGCTGGGGGTGGGCAGACAGTGCCATGTGATCCTCATGTTGTGGCATGTGAATCAGCTGCAGAACAGCCCTGTGGGTACCCAAGATGTGATGGTCCCTCCTTAGCTGGCATCCTTCAGCCTGGAGATGTACGGTGTGCAGATGCAGGTGGCGTGGGGTCAAGGACGCCCTCTGCGGCAGTTCTGAACTCCCCCTCTGGCAGGAAGGAGGAGATGCGGGCACAGCACACAGGGCAGACTCAGAAGGAAATGACATCTCAACATATGAGGTCCAATGGAAATATACAGTGAATGTTTAGATGTAATACAGGAAGAGACGCACTGACACATTGGTGTGAATCCCTCTTAGTTCCCTCACTTTGAACACCTTCTGACGAAGCTCTGGAGTCTTTTGTGAAAGCCTTTAACTGTACTGTAATGGCTGCCTTGATGTCCTGAATTAATTCAGATGTCCACCTTTCATGGTCATTGACTGGGCAAGAGCCAGAAGTCGCATGGTGCCAGATCCAGTGCTCTAGGTGGATGATGAACCACCCTGATGTTCATGCGAGCCCGCCTTTTCCTTGAATGGCACAGCAACAGTATTCGTTTTTGGTTACACCTCATAAAGATGAGGAAAACTACTTCAGAACTGCTTCAGAAAATGGCAGGAGTGATAGGCTAAGTGTGTTCAAAGCAAGGGGGAGTATTTTGAGGGGAATTAATGACAATGTGCCTTTTACTACAGTAAATTTTAAAAAATTTATAAACATTCACTTCACATAGTGTGCCCATCTTGGATATCGGAGTGCCTGAGTGGCATTAGCTGGCCAGATGGTACCTGCAGGCTATGCGTGGTGGCTTGGAGAGGGCACTTCCTGCCTCTTGCCATCTGCTGAGGTGTGGGTGCAGCTGCTACATGGGACTCATGATGCCACCACATAGAGTGGCTTCAAAGCCACCATGGAGGGCCGGGGATTTAGCTCAGTGGTGACGCCACCTGCCTCACAAGCGCAAGGTCCTGAGTTTGATCCCTGGTACCAAAAAACAAAACAAAACAAAAGCCACCATGGAGCCCTCACATGTGAAATGCTCGACAGGACATTTGATGTCTGGCAGAACAGTAGGAAAGGAGCTGAAGTCCAGCCAACACTGGTAAAGTGAGGACTGGCGTGGGGCTGCCTGGCATGGGTGAAGATGCCCAAGGCTAGTCACAGCACTGGGCTGCAGGTGGGCTTTCCAGAGCAGCCTGAGCCCACTGTCTGCCCAGGGTTCAAAGGTACCCTTGGATTTCCAGCTGGGGATTTAGCTCAGTGGTTCTGCTGCCTGCCTCGCAGGTGCAAGGTCCCAGTTCGATCCCCGGTACCAAAAAAATAAATAAATAAAAGGAAGTGCAAAGGATTTCCATCTGGTTGGAGCAAGGGTGGGGGGGCAGCCTAGTCTTCATCTGGATGTGTCGGGGCATGGCTGTTACTGTGGGGTTGCTCCCAAGGTCTGGGGACCTCATCCCCACCTCTACCCCCAGTTGCCACCTGGCAACCCAAGTCAGATGCCCGAGACCGTGCAATTCCCAAGTGGACCAATGGGGTGGGGTTGGCTGGCCCACCTGGGCTTTCAGGGACCTAACTGCTTCTTTTGTGGGATTAATCTGCTGGGTTCTGTGGTATCAGGGTGCCTTGCAGGGGACTCTAGTCAGGAAGGTCCTGCTCGTGTCCAGGTCTAAACACCAGGTCATCATGTGGATGACTTGTAGCCCAGGATGTAGAAAGGGCACAGACACGAACTCTGCACTCATTGGCCCCAAGTCGACAAGGCAGCCCCAGTGACTGAGCAAAGCCCACAGGCCACAGACCCAGAGACAGTGCCATATGCTTTCTAGGAAACAGGACGTGCGAGTGCTGTGGGCTTGTCAAGTGCTTTTCACAAGTGGGAATTTCCTCTCAACGGATCTGTTTTGTCAATCTTCAAAGCCAATGAAGGCAAAATGACAACATGACAGCCTTACAGGTGCTGAGTGGTGACAGTCTTCATCCTGCACCAGCTGGTGACTATAACTAAACCTGACATATTACATATTACCAGGGTCTCTTCTCCCAGATCAAGTCCTCAGATCACTGTCTTTTCCAGGGAGCAGAAAAAAAAAGTTCGCCAATACACATTAGTACTTGGATAGTCATTTAATAATGAAACCCAAAGCCACTGCCACGCAAACACCCTTAACTGTGACACATCTAGGGACTCAGGTTTCCACTGTGGCTCAGTGTGGCCGAAAGGACTGCGTTTTCTATGCACAGTTTGGAGGGAATCCCAGCTTTATTTGCATTTGGGCTCCAGTTCAGAGCCATCTGAGATAGCACAGAACTAGAGACGCAGAGCCTGGGACAGGGCTCCAGTGCCCAGGGCCACAGGCCTCTGTCATTGCCCCTGCCGAGTCACTGCTGCCTCTGCCTGGCTCTGTCTAGCACCTGTGGGCTCTGAGTGGGGGACAGCTGGGCCCTAGGCTCCAGCCCCATGGTCTAGGGTGGGACTACAGTGAGGAGCACTACAGCTCCAGGGCTATGGGGAGCCCACGCACATAGCAGAGGAGAGATTCAGCATGCCAGGCTGGGCCCTGCTCCATGGCTGAGGTGCATGCTTGTTCTGAGGAAAAGGTATGCTGTTAACCTTGGCTGGGAAACCTTTCATTTGGTGGGTTAAATAACATGATTTTAAAAATCATATACTTAGTACTCATCCTGAAAACCACCCAAACACTAAATATGCACACACACACATATATATATGTATTATATATATATATATGTACTGTATATACTGAGTGTGTATATATACACACACAAAAACCACGAGGTAGTTTATATCACCATTAAAAAAATCAATACTTTGTCTATTTCTTTGTCACAGCGTAGTGACCACTGGCTGTACAACAGCTGTTTGGAATTTGTGGTTAAATGAAAATGAGAATTCAGGAAATTTCAGGAGGTTGTGACATTTACAAGTAAACACTCTCAGAAACTAAGCTGTGACTGCTCTAAATTAATAGTTACAATTCTGTGTTATTTCCTGTAATATCAGAAGAAGGATCTATACAATTCCGGGAACTATACAATTTACTAAGTGCTCTCAATAGATTATATTTTACAGCTTACTTCACTCTCCATGCTTTGGTGGAGGTTTTGATACAGTCTCTATGTACACCTTTAAACATTATTCCTGAACTTCTTTGGAATTCCTTCAATTAAAAAATGGTCACCATTCTTCACCTGCTACAGAAGTGCCTGACAAAAACCCTAATGCAGGGGCAGAGGGTAAGAAGCATGTGCATCCGACACCCCCAGACCAAAAAAGTGCAGCAACTTCACATGACACAGGGAAGCAACATCTATTGTTCTCAGGGTCTCCTCACAGGTGGGGGGTCACTGGTGCTGCCCCATTCACGCCAGAGCAGGGAAATCTTCAGGATCATCTGGGTTGGGGGCAATGTCTTGTATCTAAAGAAGAAAAGAAAGTTTTAAAGCTGACTGCCATGTCCCCACTCCCAGTGTGGCCAGGGGAGAGGACCTGGCACAGACCCTGAGGAGAGAGGGCTGCAGTGGGGAAGAAGGTGCAGGGCCTCCGTAGGGCAGGCCTGGGAGCAGCTGTGCTCCCTTTTTCCTCCTGCAAATTCAAACTGTTAGTAAGACCCGGTAAACACAATAGTGTTTATCACCTGCTGCTGCCAGGCCTGGAGATACAGGGTGAACCATACAGTTCCTGCCCTCGCAGAACAGAGACAGGGAAGCAGGGAACCTCAGTCACAGGTATCTTGGGAATTGGGGACATCTAGTGCCAGGCAAGTTCTCCCTGACCCAAGCCTTGGGACTGGCCTGGAGGGGGTGGGTTGGTGCCATACACCTATGGCCTCATAACACCCCACAAGGAGCCCTGCTATTTCAAAGGTGTGAGTATGTCTTTTTTTGGTCCCAGAATCCTTTTTCACAGCTGACCGCAAGTATAGTCAGAGGAAAAGTCGAGTTTTTGCTGTTACTTAATAAAAACAAACTGTAGGCATTTTTTTCTGGGGCCACTCCCTGGTGCAAGGGAACTGGGTAGCAAAAGAAACACTTCTGAGAACAGCCACAGAGAAGGGTTCCAGGTCACAAGAACAAATGTCAGCCCAGGCTGGACTCAAACTAAACGAGTGCTTTTATGTGTTCATAAAGCTTTCAGGAAGTGACTACCACAGGAGAAATGTGCTGGGTACTGGGAGACCAGTGGGAAAAGGCGGCCATGATTTCTGTCCGCTGGAGACAGCAGACACTAAGCAGTGAGACATGCCTGAAATACTGCTGCAAAGTATGGAACTCGTTTCTCACAGCTCCTGGCTGGTCTAGCAGACAGGATTCAGGAAGCCGCCGGGGAACAAGCTCGGATCTAGTCAAGGTGGGCAAGTGAAGACCGGGGTGAAGAGCACAAGCTGGGGAGCTGGCTGTGTACCCAGGAGGAGGGTGGCAGGGACGCTAGTTACTAATGACACTAAGACTTGGGGGAGGAATATCTGAGCATGGGCACCAGTCAGCCATGGTCAGAAAGCAAGGGTCAGGTGGCCTGGTTCTATATCATGCTGGGGAACCTGTCCCACACAGATGAGCAGTGGCTGGCTGACAGCACTCCTCCCTGCAGATGCTAAGTGTGCAGCTACAGCTGGTTCTGACCCAATGGGTGTCCACGATGTGACAATACCATTCCAACCCCCACCTGTAGACTCTCTGTGGCTGAAGTGGCAGGTACTCTAACAGCTGATCCCCCAAGTTAGGTCACAGCACACCCAGGGCACGCTGGTCCCCTCACTTCCTTCAGCAAACATCCAGGACTGACAATGCAACCACTCACCACCACTTCTGGTCTGGGTCCGTAGTTCTCCACCCTCCGGATCCTTCCCCGGCCTCCCCGGGCACCACCTCTGCCTCCTCGTCCAGGACGAGGGAGGTTCCCGAAGTTAATCTCCAGCTGAGATGTGATGTCATTGGCTGCTTTCCGGAAAACATGGGCATCCTCCTCATAGTCATCCTTCACTATCTAGAACACAGTGGCAACCTTAGTCAGACACACTCACAGCTGTCTTAGGACACTCCTGCTCAGTGACTACAGAAGATTTCCAGGATGCTACACAGGAGCTGGACACCTCCACCCCTCCCACCCCCCAAGATATGCCCCAGCCCCTGATGCAGGGGCCCTGTCATCTTGGTTCTCATGAAGGTGAGTGTGGTACATTTCAGAGTCACACAGTCCTTGGGCTGAGCTTGATCCAAACGTCACTGAATTTACTATTGTTTCAAGTGAGACCACACTTCTATCAGCTTAGCAAGTTAAGATGTAAGATTTAACATGACTAACAGCAAGTAATGTAGATGTTCCAATGTATTTTGCTGAGATTAAAAAGGTTTCTGCTTATTTTCTGTTTTATTTGTTCACAAACACTACCCTGATCCATAAGGAAATATCATTTCCCAGAAACAGAACGGTGAAACCCAACATGGGCACTCACTGTACTATCACATGTTAAGAAGTGGATGATTCACAGTAAATATCTCTCACTCAAAATGTGTGGACATCTTGTAAAGCAACAGAGCATGGTTATCAGAGGTTGCTACAAATGCTACACAAAGAAACCAAGTTGTTTTTTTGTTTGCTTTTCCTTTTTTTTGTTTTTGTTTTTTGAGACAAGGTTTTGCTTGCAGTGATCCTCCTGCCACAGCCTCCCAAGTGCTGGGATTACAATTGTACACCACCACACCTGGCTTGAAACCATGCTGCTTTTTAAGGAACTGCTTCAGTTCAAATTCTTTATATTTTAGATCAGGTAAATTTTATCTTTTGTTAAAAGAAAACTATAATAAGGCACATTAAAATTTTATTTGACTTCAATTCATAATTGTGGATTAAAAAAACCCCAAAACTTTAGTAAAAGCCAAACCTTCAGAGAAGAAAATGTGCCAAGGCCCTTAGATGAGAATCTCCAAAGTGCTATGAAGTTAAACATTCCTACAACTTGCCCCGAAAATGGAAAAATTTCCACAAACACTCTGATTCTATTTTTTTTTTTTTGGTACTGAGGATTGAATTCGGGACCTTGTGCTTTCTTAGCGGGTGCAACGCCACTGAGCTAAATCCTCAGCCTTAGCACTGATTCTTTTCAGCCATATGTTCACTAGAGGTTTACTTTTAACATCTGTGTCCCCCTTCAAAGTTTTAGTTTACAGTAAAGCTCCCTGAGGCTATAAAGGTGAAGGAATTCTTCAAGTACCAAACACTGGTTGCAAGTTAACACACACACACACACACACACACACACACACACACACACACACCCCAGTAAGAGGCAACAGTAAACCGCTCTCTTAGCCAGGCAACAGGTGCACCAGGATAGAGGTGCTGGTTAGGTGTGTGGGCACCTTCAAGAGGGAACCTAATGTGGGGGGAATGAGGAAGACAGCACAGTCTCAGGCCTGGGTCTCCTCCTCACCTCTGTGGCCCTAGCCACGGTGCCTGTTTCACAGAGTTGACTTAGATTTGACCTTTGTAGGCAGCAGACTTCCATGCAAACAGGTTTTATTACAGGCTTTTGTCTTAAGATGCCCAGAACAAAGTAAACTAATGACCCCACAATGTGGCTTTTGTTGCTTGAAGAGCTATCACTGGCTAGAATCTACAACTGCCCTAAGATTAACAAGAACCAAAGAGCGATTCACTGAGACCAGGCCCAATGACTCAGCTAACCCAGTTGCTTCCAATGTTCCCGCACATCTCTAAAGCCAGAAAGAATGAGAGCTGTGAACCCTCCTGAAAGAGGCTTCTATTTTTACCTGACATGTCAGCTGCATGTTTCTCACCCTGACAGCACAGCTGCTTCAGAGCTTTATTAAATTGCTCAGAACAAAGAAGAACCAAGACAGTGGACACCCAGCCAGCCTGACTAGCTAACGGGTTTGTCACCCACCTCACTGAGATCCCTAGGAGAGTAAGGCTCTGGCATCCTGTGTCTATAAAAGCTATTTCTGGTAAAACAAGACTTATCAGTAAGGCCCCCTAAACTTTGGACTGACCAAACAAGACAAAGGGGCTACTATATCATAAATGACCGCCTAAAGAACGTATCCATTCAAAAATACAACTAACCAATGTCTAGGTGGGAACATCAGTTTGGATTATAAATGTTCCCCAGAGGCTCGTGTATTAAAGGCTTCATCCCCAGCCTGTGTTACTACTGGGAGGTGGGTGAGGCCTAGTGGAAAGAAGTTGGATCACTAATCTAGGGTTTGCCCTTGAAGGGGACAGGATACTTGGCCCCTATCTGTCTGTGTGAGCGGTTTCCTCCCCCACATGCTTCCACCATGATGTTTTGTCTTGCCACAGGCTCAAAACAATGCAGCAAAACAACCACGGACTGATACCTCTTAAACTGTGAACATAATCCTTTCCTCCTTGTTAATTGATTATCTCAGGCATATTGTCACATTAACAGAAAGCCTACTAACACAGGAACACAGACAAATCTACATAGTATTGTAAGCCTCCATCTAAAAATCAATAACTGGGCCAGGGATTTAGCTCAGTGGTTTCGCCACCTGCCTTGCAAGCAGAAGGAGTTCGATCTCCTGTACCAAAAAAAAACCCCCCATCAATAACTACTATCCAACAACAAAGAGTTATCTAGAGTATTAAGTTGGGATCATATGATACAAATTCTAAGTTCTGAAACTGGGATATTTTAGTGCACCCTTAAGTTCAGTAACTTAAAGAGAATCTGACTAATGACTCTATGGTCTTATCAATTTATGGTGGTGGAGATTTTCCCTAAAATATCTCCTTTTAAAACTTAAGGCATCTGATAAAGAGCTGAACATAAGCATGGAAAATAAGGCCTTCCCAACACTAAGAAATTTCTCACAGCTTGGGTGGTTGGGGTAGTACCTGACCCTACTGTCCAGCAGCCCAGGACTTCTCTGCAATTCCTGCAGTTACACAGAGGACACACAGCCTCTGACATAGTACAAAAAAGGGATCACAGGGTTTGGATCCCCTACTGTAGTATAAGACGACCAACTATTTCCAAGGAGATGAAGCTCATTAAGAATTAGAGCTACAGGGGCCGGGGATTTAGCTCAGTGGTTCTGCCGCCTGCCTTGCAAGCAGAAGATCCCGAGTTCGATCCCTGGTACCAAAAAAAAAAAAAAAAGAATTAGAGCTACAGGTAATCTAATTGTGAAAATACAGAGTAGTCATCTCCTGAAACAGCACTGGCCTGGAAACATTATGTACCTCTCACTCAAGAGTCAGAAAATGAATGTATAATGAACACAGTATTTGGACAGTCTCCATGCAGGGCTGAAAATGGGCTGTCCCTTACCAGCTTTGTATTTTAGTGTCAATACATTAAGTTTCAATTCTTTTTCATCCTCTGGTTACTCTTAAGCAGAAACAAGAAAGCCAATTACTAATGTTCCATTTTTCAAAACAGTAGGAAAGGTCTATTTAATTTCCACTGAGGTAAAAGTGAAAGATTACCTCTAGATACAAAAGGCAATGCTTACATCATCTCTATATTTTGACTCGTGAATCACCACTGCTTTGGAAGGAACAGTGGATTCTGGTTTCCGGATGTTAAACTCAGGTTTTGGTCTTGTCTGTTCTTGAAGATTTTTCCACTCATCCAAGGTCATCTCATGAACTTGAGTTTCCTCTTCTACTTCCAACTCAGGAACTCTACAAAGATATATAATCATAAAAAAAAAATTTCTGATGGGACTGAAATGTCTACCAAAGAAAAAATTATAACCTTAGTACAACATACTGTACTTTTGTGGAACTGCATCTCAAATGCAAGAAAACCCCTGAGTCACAAGCTTCTGCATTTTATTTTCATCATTTCATTCCATTCCTGTCAACTGAAGATACTTCCTGTCTCTGTTCAAAGCCGGCCATGAAAAATGGGGACATCACTATCCCAATACTATGTACACCTCTTGTGGGGATAGAAAATAATTTGGTCACTTTGGAAAACAGCCTGGAGGGTATTTAAAATTTTAAACTCAGAGTTGACATATGACCCACCAATTTCACTCAGGTATATTCCCAAGAGAAATGAAAACATATGTTCGCATCAAAGCCCACACATGAATGTTCATAGCAGCATTATTCCTAACACCCATGAACTAGAAATTATCTTCATTTCTATGAACAGATAAACAAAAGATATTTTAAAAAATATTCTTTGGCAATAAAAAGAAACAAAGTACTAATACATGGTGCACCAAGAACAAACCTTGACAACAGAAGGCTGGGTGAAATAAAGCAGGCACACAGAGCTAAGTCTTATTTCTGTGTAGGGTTCCATTTATATAAAATACTTATAAGAGGGAAATTCATAGAGACAAAAAGCAGATCAAACTGAATCCTTAATGGATATGAGGTTTCCTTCTGGGGAGATGGAACTGTTCTGGAACTAGATATTGGTGATGGTTGCATAACACTGTAGATGTACTAGATGCCACTGATCTGTGCATTTTAAAAGGATCAAAACTGTAAATATTATATGTATATTACCACTAACCTCCCACAGAAAAAATGCAAGGGAAATGAAGTATTAACATGGTATAATATAAATAAACCTGAAACCTTTCACCAAGTAAAATAAGCCAAATATTGAACATTTTACCTGAGGCAAATTCATTAACCCAAAATGGGACTAAGACGATGGATGAATAGTGTTTAGTAGGTACACAGTTTCTGTTTGGAATGATGAAAAAGTTCTGGAGATGATGGTGCTGATGGCTACATACAATGTGAATATAATTGATGGTAATGTCTTATTACTTAAAAATGAGCTAGGCGTGGTGGTCCCTGCCTTATAACCCCAGGACTCGAGAAGCTGAGGCAGGGGGATTCAAGTTCAAGGTAGTCTATGCTAGATAGCAAGCTCAAGGCCACCCTGGACTAGAGAAGACCCAACCTGTCTCAAAAAAAGTAATTTTAGGGCCGGGGATTTAGCTCAGTGGTTCTGTTGCCTGCCTTGCAAGTGCAAGGACCAGAGTTGAATCTCTGGTACCAAAAAAAAAAGTAATTTTATGTTACTTATATTTATACAATTTAAAAAACATTAATAATGCAATATACTCCAAACCAGTGAAAAGTATACAGTAAATGTCTGAGTTATATAGCATGAGAATTATATTTTAATAAAGCCGTTTAAAAAAAAAATAACAGTAGGCAGGGAGGGCACCAGGAAAGAATCAAACCTACACCTTCACCAAAGGGACAATGTAACTCAGGGTTCTATGAATATACAAGTTAATGATAAAAACTGTAAGCAAAGTTTGGAGAGAAATCTAATTGCAGAGCATCCAAAGCAGACACACAAAAGTGACCACTTATGAAGGGACTCAGGGAGATTTTGGGTTACTGGTGATATTGTATATATTGACAGGAGCTGGGGCTCTACAAGCACATGCATTTGTCAAAACAGATCATCATGAGGCCTGGGGAGGTGCACCATGGGGAGGGGAAAGTGGAAGCTTTTGCCTTTCAGGCAGAAACTGCTCAACTCATGTCTCTTATTATCAATACCTTCTGTTCCCAACAAGGAAATTTTCCTTTGGTAGCTCATCTCCAATGGTTCTGATGCTTTGAATGAGATCTGCTATGAGAGCCTGACAGATACTTGGACAGCAGTAAAGAGCTGAACACTGATATCATGCCCAACCCTCAGGAGCACACTCTGACTTTGGTGGATACGGGTACTGGTGTGACCAACATTTACCTCATAAATAATTTCAGAACCAAGTCTAGTACTAAAGCATTTATGGAGGCTCTTCATGCTTGTGCAGACATCTCCATGATTGGGCAATTCAATGTTAGATTTTATTCTGTCTTTTAGGTGGCACAGAAAGTGGTTGTGGTCAAAAGCACAATGATACACAGTATGCCAGGGGTCTTCTACTAGAGATCTTACACTGTACGTGCCAACCGTAGTGACCCCACTGGCCAGGGCCCAAAGTGATCTCCACCTCAAAGATCAGTCAGAGTACTCAAAAGAGAGGCAGGCTGAAGAAATGGTGAAGAAGCTCTTGCAGTTCACAGGCTATCCTATCACACTCTACTAGAAGGAAAGAGAGAAGGAAATCACTGATGAAGCAGAGGAAGAGAAAGAAGAGGAGGCCTAATGAAGGTTCATTGAAGATGTGGGTTAAAGATGAGGAGGAAGACACTGGTAAAGATGAGAAAAAGAAAACCAAGAAGACTAAGAAGGAATACATCAAACACAAGGAAATGAACATGATCAAGCCCCTCTGGACTAGAAACCCTGACGGCATCACTTAGGAGGAATATGATTTCGTTTTTTGGGGGGAGACAAGGTCTTATTATGTAGTTCAGGCTGGGCTTGAACTCACCATGTAGCCCAGGCTGGGTCTCCAACTTTCGGTGGTCCTCCAGCCTCAGCCTCCCGAGTACTGGGATTACAGGTGGACACCACCACATCCAGCTCTAGGAATATGAAGAATACAAGAGTCTCACCAATGACTGGAATGACTACCTGCAGTCAAGCACGTCTCTGTAGGTCAGTTAGAAGGCAAAGCACTGCCATTCAACCCTTAGCGGGGTCCCTTTGACCTCTTTGAGAACAAGAAAAAGAACAACATCAAACATGTTCTTCAGGGACAGCTGTGCTGAGTTGATACCAGACGACCTAAACTTTATCCATGGTGTGACAGACTCTAAGGACCTGCCCCTGACATCTCCCAAAAAATGCTCCAGCAGAGAAAATCTTGAAAGTCATCCACAGAAACACTGTTAAGAAGTGCTTTGAGCTCTTCTCTGAGTAGGCAGATGACAAAGAGAACCACAAGATATTCTATGAAGCATTCTCAAAAATAAAAAGCTTGAAGTCAAGAGGACTCTACTAAAAAGCAATGTCCTCCTGTGTTGGGAGATGAGATTACTTCTCTGTCAGAGTATGTGTGTCACATGAAGGAGCCCCAGAAGTCATCTACTACATCACTGGTGAGAGCAAAGAGCGGGTGGCCAACACTGCTTTTGTGGAATGTGTGCAGAAGTGGGGCTTTGAGGTGGTGCAAATAACCAACCCTAATGGTGAGTACTGCATGCAGCAGCTCTAGAGTTTGATGGGATGAGCATGGCCTTCATGACCAAAGAAGGGAAGAAAATGCAGGAGAGCAAGGCAAAGTTTGAGAACCTCTGCAAACTCATGAAAGAAGTCTTGTTTTTTTTGGTACCGGGGATCGAACTCAGGTCTTTGCGGTTGCACAGCAGGTGGCGAAACCACTGAGCTAAATCCCCGGCCCCATGAAAGAAACCTTGGATAAGAAACCTGAGAAGGTGACAAAGTCCAACAGGCTTGTGTCTTCACCCTATTGCACTGTGACTAGTAGCACCTATGGCTGGACAGCTAACATGGAGCTGATCATGAAGGCCCAAGCACTCTGCATCAACTCTACAATATGTTAAATGATGGCCAAAACCACCTGGAAATCAACCCCAACCACCCCAGTGTGGAAACACTGGGAGAAGGGTGACAGATAAAAACAAGGCGGTAAAGGACCTGGTAGTGCTGCTGTCTGAAACTGTGCTATGTTCTGGCTTCTCCTGTGAGGACCCCAGAGCCACTCACCACACCTGCTGCATGAGCAAGCTGGTCGTGGACACTGAAGAAAAAGTGCCCCAGAGGAGCCCAGTATTGCTGTTCCTGACAAAACCCCACCTCCAGAGGAATGAGGATACAAATCAAATGGGAGAAGCAGATCAGGATTGTCTGCTGAGAAACCTGTGCCCTCTGTATAGTGTCTCTATGGCTCCACAGCAACCTGGAGTGGCCCTGTCCCACCTTGCTCCCTCTGCTGATGTCTAGTAGGCTTTTCCTCTCCTATCCTGTGTCTAAGGCAGGAAACAAGGGCCTCAAGCCCCATTCCCTCCATAATTTGATACCAGGGTTAGATGTTGTGTATGATGGTCTTATTTTGTTCTGAAATTAAAGTATGCAGAATAAAGAAGAGTTTTACACTCAAAACCCCACAGATCTCAAATTATACTAGCAACAATATGAAAAGATCTTAAGAAGACATTATAAGAGAAAAAACATAAATGCAAAATATGGGCTACAACCTAACTCATTTAGAGAGGCATTTGGTGGAAATTATGGTACAGCCACACATGGAGATGAAGCAACTAATAGTGAAATGAGGAATGCCTCTGTATACAGTAATGAAACAACTAGATATGGTGAGGAAAAGCAGGTGGGTGTGTAGTATGTTATCATTCACTTAAGGAATGGGAAAAAGCATAGTAATATATATGTTTGTATTATACTTTCTAACAACAGGAATATAAACTAGGAAAGAACAAGGACAGAAGCTAGTTGAAAATACTATGTACGTATTAAATGATGTGATGACTGAATTTGGGAGTAAATATTTTACATAATTCTAAAACAGATTAAAGAGCTGGGCATGGCGACACACACCTATAATCCCACTTCTGCCGAGGCAGAAGGATCACTGTAAGTTCGAGGCCAGCCAGGGATACCTAATGAGTTCAAGACCAGCCTGAACTACATAGCAAGACACTGTCTCAAAAAGAAAAAAAAAAGTTTAAATTAAAATCATCTCTAAAATTTAAAGGTAAAATGAATCAACTTAATGTAAATGTTTATCAACTTGCTGACATACCCACGAGGAGAAACTATTTCAAAT